CATTTGAGTCATCAGTATGACGCAACAGTGCTAGTTATCTCAGGAATCAAAATATTTACTGCAATCCATGTAGGCCTACACTTGAATCTTAGCGTTTCTTTAATCTAGCGTGCATATTGCTACAGCATATTGTCATCTATCTAGGACGCACCTATCTATGGCTATCATTGCCTTATTAGGTTCTCCGTCAGTATACAGAATTGAACAACTTGCCCGGCTCATTAGTGGCTGGTTACATGTGTTTACGTTTATACCGTATTCTCAAAAACATGATCAGTGTATGACGCTTTGTCGTGAACTATTTCTGACGTATCCGCACTAATGGTCTTTGACACAGATGCATACACTCACAGTTAATAACACAGAAACACACATGCACGCATCCTACCCATTGATACATGTACACAGAAACACATGTACGCAAACAAATTGACACATATCATCGGGTCAAACAAGAGGGAACAAATGAGCAAATGATGGAATAGCTTTGAATATCCCAAAATGCAGTGAAATCTAGCATAAAGCCTTCGGGACTTTTCCGTCCGGTACCAGGGTGCTATCCGCCCCCCTACACTTAGTGACTAATGAAGCGGCAAAGCCTCTGTTCCACCAGGCTCATCGTGCGTGTGTGTGTGTTGTCAGGCGGCCTGTGACTCGCCTGCCGGAAATGTCTAAATCCTTCAGACCAAACAAAAATGTGGACACCAGTGTCAAAGAGCAACATACGACGTTCTAGACCTGAACATGTCAACAAAGTAATGGGCTGAGAGAATTTCTAATAATACATATATATATATATATATATATATCGTTGGGTGGTTGTTAGTCTAGTTGAGTGTAGATTCAATGTAGATGATGTTCGCGAGTTCGTACATCTAATACCAATCTCCAACAGAACAAAACGGTATAAACTCTAGAATGAAAGCATACAAAAGTTTATTTACGAAATAAGGGCACAGTCTACGTCGTACCTAAGATCTATCTGGTCTACGTCGTACCTAAGATCTATCTGGTCTACGCCGTACCTAAGATCTATCTGGTCTACGCCGTACCTAAGATCTATCTGGTCTACGTCGTACCTAAGATCTATCTGGTCTACGCCGTACCTAAGATCTATCTGGTCTACGCGTACCTAAGATCTATCTGGTCTACGCCGTACCTAAGATCTATCTGGTCTATGTCGTACATAAGATCTATCTGGTCTACGTCGTACCTAAGATCTATCTGGTCTACGTCGTACCTAAGATCTATCTGGTCTACGCCGTACCTAATATCTATCTAGTCTACGTCGTACCTAAGATCTATCTGGTCTACGTCGTACCTAAGATCTATCTGGTCTACGTCGTACCTAAGATCTATCTGGTCTACGTCGTACGTAAGATCTATCTGGTCTACGTCGTACCTAAGATCTATCTGGTCTACGTCGTACCTAAGATCTATCTGGTCTACGTCGTACCTAAGATCTATCTGATCTATGTCGTACCTAAGATCTATTGGTCTACGTCGTACCTAAGATCTATCTGGTCTACGTCGCACCTAAGATCTATCTGGTCTACGTCGTACCTAAGATCTATCTGGTCTACGTCGCACCTAAGATCTATCTGGTCTACGTCGTACCTAAGATCTATCTGGTCTACGTCGTACCTAAGATCTATCTGGTCTACGCCGTACCTAAGATCTATCCGGTCTACGCCGTACCTAAGATCTATCTGGTCTACGCCGTACCTAAGATCTATCTGGTCTATGTCGTACATAAGATCTATCTGGTCTATGTCGTACATAAGATCTATCTGGTCTACGCCGTACCTAAGATCTATCTGGTCTACGTCGTACCTCAGATCTATCTGGTCTAAGCCGTACCTAAGATCTTTCTGGTCTACGCCGTACCTAAGATCTATCTGGTCTACGCCGTACCTAAGATCTATCTGATCTACGCCGTACCTAAGATCTATCTGGTCTACGCCGTACCTAAGATCTATCTGGTCTACGCCGTACCTCAGATCTATCTGGTCTAAGCCGTACCTAAGATCTTTCTGGTCTACGCCGTACCTAAGATCTATCTGGTCTACGCCGTACCTAAGATCTATCTGATCTACGCCGTACCTAAGATCTATCTGGTCTACGCCGTACCTAAGATCTATCTGGTCTACGCCGTACCTAAGATCTATCTGGTCTACGCCGTACCTAAGATCTATCTGGTCTACGCCGTACCTAAGATCTATCTGGTCTACGCCGTACCTAAGATCTATCTGGTCTATGTCGTACATAAGATCCATCTGGTCTACGTCGTATCTAAGATCTATCTGGTCTACGTCGTACCTAAGATCTATCTGCTGCACTCGGTCTTCTTGTCGTCCTTCGTCCGTTAATCCTTTCTGACCTATTTCTTTTTATTGACTTTTAAATGTTCTGTCGCGTCACTAAGGACATACACAATTAAACCCAACTTCTACGCGTCTCACTATTGTATCTTTACAATATATGTAGAGACACACACATACGTACATACATAGATAATTATGTTGTTGTATCTTTACATTATCTTCAAATTCTATTAGGCCGTTTAATTAAACGCACGCATACGCGCTATTAAACTTGAACCTTCGCAAGATGTTCATTAAAAAGCCCTTCAAGATTATATTCATGGCAAATTAAGAGGCCATTGAGCTTGTTAAATAAAACAGCAACTATTGCTAATGGCGCTGATCTAGAGGTTAAAGTGCACAAGACTTCGATTTGTTAGTTGGGGGACTCGTGTACCGGTAAGGAAATGCACAATTACTAGCATTAAAATTATCATTAGAGCATGTGTGTGTCTGTGTGTGTCAGTGTGTGTGTCAGTGTGAGTCAGTGTGTGTGTGTCAGTGAGTGTGTGTTAGTGTGTGCCCTATTAAACGTAATTAAGTAATGATTACAAAATTCGCCTTTTTTTTTCTTCGTTCCAGGGACCTATTCTCAGCAGAGTATAAACAGGTGAACACAGGAGTACACAGACAGGTGAACACAGGAGTACACAGACAGGTGACATTAAAAAATAATTGTTGAGTTGGAGATATTATTTTAAATTGTTCTATTAGCATGTTAGGTTATTACAAGGGGACCACAACAAACTTCGCTAACTCTTAGTGAATCTATAATATATTTATATCTATTTTAATCTATAATATATTTACTAGGGCCTTCACTGATTGTTCATTCAACTCTCATCACTAATACTTCTACTTGATGGACAAATAAATATGAACATCTAGCATGTTATTACTTACATTGTGCTCAGGACATCTAGCATGTTATTACTTACATTGTGCTCAGGACATCTAGCATGTTATTACTTACATTGTGCTCAGGACATCTAGCATGGTATTACTTACATTGTGCTCAGGACATCTAGCATGTTATTACTTACATTGTGCTCAGGACATCCAGCATGGTATTACTTACATTGTGCTCAGGACATCCAGCATGGTATTACTTACATTGTGCTCAGAACAATGGAAACGTGCATCGGTTAATTTTCTTTAAAAGATTTTTTTTTATTCCCAGCTTCCAAGCCGATATATTTTTACTAGTAAATAAAATAATTCTTTCTTTTTTTTTTTTTACAAGAAACCTAGAGCCTATGAAGTAATCCAAGAGAGAACCGTTTTTGTTGGAAGTTTAAAAAAAAAGGGAGAGGCTGTTCCGTCCAAAATAAACTATATATAGCAAGGGGAACAAATCAACGGGCGTAGCTGGTTTGTATTGCTAGTATATTTCTATTAACATGATCCGTAAATTGACGGCAATGGATATAAGCATCCGACTACCTTTACAATGTTTCTAATGACATGCATCTCAAATAGCTTCTGACAACCAGTCCAACTTCCTCACATGAGTCTCAGATATTGGGTATCTCTGACAGGAGGGACATAGGTGAGCAACTAGTGCCTAAATTAGCCAGTCAACTTCAGTCGGGGAAGGTTCATTCATGGCTACCCACATAGGAGAAAGAAAAACTCTGAATTCAAACCTCAGCTGACTTGCGGTTAACCCCAAACACGGGAAAAAGGCTTGGGGAGTCAATCCTGATGAAAAATCAGAAGTCGGTGACCTAAGGCAGCTTACAGCACACAGTGCTACACCCAGGCAGGGCTGGCTTTGCTGCTGATCCCAAACTGTATCGGCACATGCCATTACTTTGGACACATCAGCTGCCTTAAAAAGAGGGTACTGTTGTGTGAAGGACATAGTTCCGACCATAGTTATAGCCCGCACTCTCATCTCATTTCTTAAGGAGGACCTACAGTTGCTTCTCGACTGAAAGAGTCCATGATAGATGATCAGATCTCCAGCAGATCAAATTACTATTAAAATTCTCTCCCTTATACACCCTGTTGTAACCTGGGGCTACCAGACAGCAGATCTAATTTTCTAAGGAGTTTCACACCTACATCAATTGAAATCTTCTTTCCATCTCCGTGGAATCTATTCTACTTTGGCTAAGAAATATGGCCTTGACCTAGATTAGCTGTAGGACAGCTTGCGCATGTGTCGTTCTTTATTTTCTTACAATTTCATAGGCCATTCTTATAAGTTGAAAACCTTAGATCTAGGTGTTTTCTGACTATTCTGATTATGTCTATTGTTTGTTTCGCTGTGTCAAAGCTTTAAGGTGTTTGGGTTTGGTTTTATCAGATAGTTGGAGATCATCCCACTGTGTCACGTGATAAAAAGATCTTGAAGCTATTCGTTGGTCAAATGCAATTGTGTATTCTAGCTTGAAGTATTAGGCTGGGCCGCCGCTACCTATTTTGCAATGTGTGCATTGTTCACAGCCGGCCAAATATTTAGTTTATATATTTTATATGTTCTAATTATTCCATTATCCTTTCAAACATTAAAAAAAAAAAACAACAAAAAAAAAAACGATATTCGTGCATAAAAATTATTTTGGAAATGTATCAAAGAAAAAAAAAATAGGGCGGCGTGGCAGGAATTCACAGGGCGGCGTGGCAGGAATTCACAGGGCGGCGTGGCAGGAATTCACAGGGCGGCGTGGCAGGAATTCACAGGGCGGCGTGGCAGGAATTCACAGGGCGGCGTGGCAGGAATTCACAGGGCGCTTGGCAGGAATTCACAGGGCGCTTGGCAGGGATTCACAGGGCGGCGTGGCAGGGATTCACAGGGCGGCGTGGCAGGGATTCACAGGGCGGCGTGCCAGGGATTCACACTGAATTTTCAAAAGGCGCCTACTCATTTCTGGCCTTGAATTTTCACGGGTTTATAATATTTATTTTGAATGACACTTACAGAAGCAGATCAGTCAACACATTTTTTTCTTCTTAGTATCTACTTACTACATAAGTCTATAATTACTATTTGTTTAGTCAAATTGGCCGCCGTGTTAGTAGATCTAGTAATTAAAAAGTACTTGTTTAAAACATTTTCCCTTTTTTTTCAAAAGCAAGTTAAACCTCTGTGTATTGTTATAACAGTTATATTGAGTTTTTGTTCAAAAGTCTATTTAAGAATATTTATTAAAAATATAAAACGCCTACATCGATTCAGCTTTTTTTATGTGTGGAGCTACAAGCCAACTACCGACCAACAACAAAGGTTGGAGGGGGGGGCGGCAAATTGTTGATCCATGTCTGAATACTATAAAAGTTACATAATTACCAATGTTTTAAAAATTAAAATATCTTAAGTAAGAGACATCCTTTCATTTTCTAATAAGACCTTATCAAGTGTAGACCATTTTCTCGAGGGGTGTTTGCAACGATATGGGTCAAATCTTTTTGAAGAAAATATCGCAAAATGTTTTTCAAAAGTGTGTCTTGTCTCAGAATGGTCGAATCTTTTCCGACCATAGCACTTTATTATAGTTTTGACTTCTGTGTGAAAACAAATAGTCCGCGACAGAGATGTACTTAACACGAAGATGGTCTGAAAAAAGATCACGCCCATTACAGACGTCCGTGCATTATACGTACCTAGATAGTCCCTTGCATAACACTATGGACCAGGGCTGTCTCTTTATTATTAGATTTAATATGGCCCTCAACTTTACTTTTTTACTAGGATGAATAGTGCGTTCTGAACGAAAAGACATCAACATTGGCATTTTCGATAGACTCTCTTCTTACTACAAGAAAAAATGAGTTGTAGACGCCAGGAGAAAGAATTTCTCCTAAAATAAAAACACCAGAATACGCCGCGGCCCTGTACCGACATTAATACAATTAATACAAGTGAAAAAAAAACAAGAAATTGTGTTATAATTATGAATAAGTTTCTTTTCTTTTTTATTACTTCCTTTAAAAAAAAATTCACGGACCTCACTATGGGAGCCTACATCGCTGCTCTAGATCCCCAGCTTCTAAGGAAGGCACGAACAAAAATTTTGTCATGTAGGGATCGCACTTAGCAATGTCTGAGAATCACTGCCTTACTCTGTTTTATTTCACATCATTGTATAAGTAACTTGTTCTTTGGTTTATTAAACTTGTATTAATGGAAAAAAAATATTCTAAGCTGAGTTGCTTCATTTTGTCCTGGTGGTGTATTGGATAAATTTGTACGCACTTCCGAATCCGCGTATGTCAGATGATTGTGGAGACAATGCAGTCTCTCCAAATTACAATCGTGATAAGTATTATAAAAAATGACGGAAGGTTGATAAAGATTCACTATCGATGACTTTTATAGTTTGAGGAATCTATTCTGTATTTTATGGTCCTTATAACCTCCTGTTGAAATACATGAACATTTTCTGGGGTTTCGCCCAATTAATTGAGAATTGGAGAATGACTTTGTGACATCGTAGAAGAAAAAAAATCCAAGTTACAATTGGAAATAAAACATCTAAGAGGGCATGAGGGATACGACAACGGGGCGAATATTAAATAAATGATCTACAAAAATGGATTTAAATCAAAGGGCGCTTTTGGTACAGTGTCCAGCTCAGTTTAAGGAATTTTTTTTTTTTTTAAAAAAAAGGGGGCGGCATTTAAACATTTTGCACGTAGGCGGCCACAACCCTCGCGGCGGCCCTGAGTAGAGATATAAGAGCCCTATTTTTTTGGCCTTTTTTAAGTTTAGATATTAGCCTATACGTCAAGGCTAAATATTTCTTAGGGGCCCTAAGCTATTATTTATGTTACATTTAGGTAAATCCGGGCTGGTCCCAGGCTATAATCACAAAAACCCTGCCCTCCGCCATCCACTGTAGTCCTAAAACTTAGAAGTGAGTTAACCGTGACGGCCACATTACTTTCAACTATTCTCATTATTTATTTTTTCTCCATCCCAACTGCCCTCACAAAGTCAGCTCATCTTTCTCCCAGTTACAAGGTCAAACATTTGTACTGACCTGCTCATGAAAGCAAACATTGCACAAGAAAAGGCAGGCGTGGTCAGGGGCCATCTGATCAAGGGGGGCCACTGGCTCGACTATAGCCGAAGACAATGGCGTGGCGCTGATGACGCAGAGCGAGGCTAAGGCGAGCAACAATACTGTCTCGTGGTGGTTCATTTTTGATCTGTACAGAAACAAAAGAAACACAAATTAATGATTCAAGAAATTATCAGTAGGACAAATCTCCGTCTCCAAGGAAAACAAAATATTTTATACAAAAAAATAAATAAAAAAGGGGGAAAATGTTTGCTTAGTTATGTTTTATGAAGCTACAAATTCTAAATTTAATATAAGATTAGACAAAATTTATTCCTGCTCCATGTTTAAATATATTCGGATGAGTTTTGATCGGATCGCATTGGATCGTATCGCATCGGATCGGCTCTGATCAGGTAGGATTGAATCGGATCCAACTGGATCGGGATATGATCGGTTCGGATCTGATTGGATTTAATCGGAAAGGATCGTATCGAATCGGATCGGATAGTTACTGAAAAGAAGAGGTCAATCTCGGGATCCAACCCACGACATTCGCGCACTAAGCGTGATGGTCAATCCACTTCGCTGTCAGTGTCAAGAATTCCCAGACTTCCAACTTTTCCCTTACACCCCCCCTCCCCACCCACACATAAAAAACAGTGTAAGCAAATAGTAGAAAATGAAAAACAAATCCGAACTTTTTTAAAATATAAAAATCACGTGACTTAAAAAAGTAAACAGTTTCTCTCACAATTACCAAATGAATTTGTTCACATTTCTGGCATGTTCATTCCAAGGGCTAGCGTGCATTGTAACTTCCCGAGGGAGGAATAGGAGAGGGTCGTGTACGCATGCCGTATTCTCCCTCCCTTCTATGATACTCAGTATTTTTCTTTTTTTCTTTACTAACTACAAGAGTTAAATACAAGCTTTGATAATAATTCATGGAATAATGTGGAGGAAAATGGGGGGGGGGGGGGGCAAAGATTAAGGCCCAAAAAAGAAAAGAAACTCAGAGTCTATAATAAGGAAATAGAGTGACTTTTTTTTCCATCTAAAAAATGGCTCCTGACATTAAGTAGAAACTGACTTAATGTAAGCTCGAATTGTAGAAATCGTCTTTTTTTTACTGTGGCACTGAACAACAGACCAAACAACTTTGACCATTCCGCTCCCGACTTGGCGTTTTGTTGTTGTTTCACGTTTCGAATGTTCCTTCAGAATTGAAGTATTACTTCCGGTTAGGACATGATTAGGAATTAGGCGCAGAAAGTTATTTGTGTTTAAAAAAAAAATGGAAATTTTTGCTCAGAGACCGTAACGTGACTATTTAAATGACTAGGATTTAGGCAGGGTAGAGAAAAGTAAACAGAAGACTTTTGGGCAGCTCTAGAGTAAAGTCGGCTTTAGTTTCTGTCGAGAGTATTTAGGTAATACAACATTTGAAGTTCCCTTCATTACATATTAAAAGTTCTTGCTTCACATCGTTCATCATCGCTTGTTTTACATGGTTGGCTTATTCAAGTGTTGAGTGTTTAGACATTTCTACACAAGACAGCGCGGAGGCGCCTAACAATCCTATACCAATAGCCCGGAGCCATCGATATGGCAGTCCAGAGCACAAACCATCTGATGCGAGACAATTGATTTCGTATGTAAGGACACAATAGAGAGACGCGTAGAAGTTGGGTAAATCGGGTATTTCCTTAGTGACGCGACAGTACATTTAAAAGTTAGAACGGGAATAGACTAGAAACAAATAACGGAAGATGGACGACGAATGCGATCTACGCCGTAGACAGTGCCCTTCTGTCGTAATAAACTGTTCTTCTATGTCAACGTTGAATTCCTTCACTATATACTGTTTGTGTTCTGTTGGAGGAGGTGGTTATTAAGAACTCGCGTATTACATTAGATTTACAAATAATGAACATCATCTACATTACATTCAACTAGATCTATCAACCACCTCAACACGTACCACACATAAAATAGAACAAGGGCCTTTATGGCGTATTGCGGAATCAGAATCTGCAATGAAACCAATGTAACGGACATTTTGGTGGACCGTGTCCGTAGAATAGATAGGATTTAACAATCAGCAGACTTCTTTGCTGACACCAATTTTATCTAATACCTTTGTACATTAAATAAAACAGATTAAATAGTATTGACAATCCCCCATCGAGTTTGTCTTTCGGTTGTTTAAAATTCCAGAACATTCTCTGTGGCACTGTGACAATTCAATAATATAGGAAAGTTCATCGCTTGAGTACTCACCACTTTGTGACATTTTAGCCTCATCAATAGTTCTGTGACAAGTGGCCCTCGTTCCGGCACTTATCTTCTTCTCCATCTTCACCTAATTCGTTAACCGCTAACTAGACTGATATTTCCTTACTGGTCTTCTATGAGGTCGGTATTCCAAGATGGCTTTTTCTTTTTATACATAAATTATTTAGCCAGGCTTTATAATAGCTCCTAGTATCATACGCTTCAGGAGTTGTAAGATGAGTGACCGCCCTTTAAAGGAATAAATAGGTCTTAAGAAATATATGATACAATCAAAAAGACAGAATAATTGTCACATGGCATGTAACGTTGCAAATTAAGGGATAGGCCTGTAGTATAAACGGTTCAATGTATAATGGTATTATTGTTTATCTTACTACTTGATCTGTTGTATCTGAGATCATACCCTAATATATAAGTGACAGTAGTTTGGTATGTCGTTATGATGGCTCCAAGTTGGAAGCCATGTGTCTCACTGCTACCAGTGCCATCCCCTGCCACCCTGCAGGAGGTTTTCGCTGGAACGTAAGAATCTTTGTTTTTGTGGAATATCCTGTCTACTCTTGCAATTATTCAGTTTCCTTAGATATAGATTTCTAATTTTGAAACTCTAAACTAGTCAAAACTATGTTGAATAACAAATGAAACAAGATATATCCCAGCAATCCTTCCTAATCTTCAGAGTCCCATGGTTTCTGTGTACACACCTCAGCCCCCCTTGCTTTCGCCCCCATCAATCTTTCACTTCCAACGGAATAGATTCACGTCTGCTAATGCAACACGAGCTGGAGCTGTACTCGAGAATTATTCCCCAGCCTCCTACGCGAGGGAGCAAAACGTGTTGGATAAATCTCCTTGTAAGAGAAGCAGACGAGAGAAATTATTTGATGACAAAGAAATAAGAGAAGAAGAGAGTTCAAGATATTCTCTAATCTTTAGAAGATACCCAGGGGTAATATTTTATTTCGTAATTCTTTCACTAAGGGAGAGAATTAGAGAGAGAAAATATTTTGTTGGATTAATCTGAATTAATTGTTCTTTTTTTTTTTTAAAGGTGCAAGCCATTTTAAACATAAGGCATGCAACACGTACTGTAACCTGTGAGCCAACGTCTTTTTTACATCCGTAAAGTGTGAGCCAATGTCTGTTATATCTGTAAAGTGTGAGCCAATGTCTCTGTTAAATCCATAAAGTGTGAGCCAATGTCTCTGTTATATCTGTAAAGTGTGAGCCAATGTCTCTGTTAAATCCATAAAGTGTGAGCCAATGTCTCTGTTATATCTGTAAAGTGTGAGCCAATGTCTCTGTTATATCTGTAAAGTGTGAGCCAATGTCTCTGTTATATCTGTAAAGTGTGAGCCAATGTCTCGTGGTCAGTAAGCTACTTATTACTCTTTTTTTACAAGCTAGGATACAATACAAAGATTTGAAACCTCGACAGGTGCTCGATCACTAGTTGCTAAGGTTACACAGAACGTTCCTTTTCCAACAAAAGAATGACCTTGTTCTTGTAAATGGACAAAAGTTTCGTTCTTCAATTGTTGACTAGAAAGAGAATTGTACAAATATTACTATCACTAATATGACACTCGCTTAGGACCCTGCGCTCTACTAAGGCTGCCTCTAAAACTCCTACTAGCGTTGTGCCCTGATACTACAGTAACCAGTGGGGCATAATCTGTGCGCCAGAGATCTCAAGGAACCCTATAGCGTTACTAAACTGTGAGTCCTATATCCACCCTTACGTTCATAATCAATGTCAGGCACTAAACATACTTACGGCTGAAATATATGAGACACACAACTTCCGTCAAACTGACAGCCAAAGATACGAGACACACAACTTCCGTCAAACTGTCAGCCAAAGATATGAGACACACAACTTCCGTCAAACTGTCAGCCAAAGATATGAGACACACAACTTCCGTCAAACTGTCAGCCAAAGATATGAGACACACAACTTCCGTCAAACTGTCAGCCAAAGATCACAATGAATGGATAACTGCCTGGTGCCAGGTCTTGCGGTTTACGCGCTGGACTGTCGTTGGGTCGTCTCAATGATCCCGGGTTCATACTCTGCCCATTGCCATGCCTCGTCACCCGCGGGAGTTGTGGGCTTAAAAGTAAAGTTTCTTTAACTCACGGATGAAAGTTATAAACAAGTATATGTATACTCTACTACAGATCTATATACGTGACTCGCTTATCTCCCTTAGTTTTGTAAACTGTCAGCTATAGATATTCCATGGGCATGTAATCTGTAGTTCACTTTTATATCCGATAAGAATGATTAGTTGTAGCCCTCTGAGAATGTATGGGGAAAAAAACAACAACAACAGTTTATCAGCCTCATCTTGGAAATCTGGCACAGAGATGCCAACCTTTCTTTACCCTATCAATTTCCGAGGCGTCTGTCACGTGCCTTAAAAAAAAAAGGGTGGATTGAAATGAAACTCTGTGGCTTTATAATGCGCTGTGGACTGAAGTTAAGAGGAGTTGGATAACAAATGGGCTAGGGCCGGATGTTGCCCGCGGGCCGTAGTTTGGGAATCACTGATCTAGCTTGTTAGCTGATTATTGAGTAGCTGAAAAAAAAGAGAGAAACCATGGCTACAAGGCAAGACATTCTTTTAACTCTTACAGTGCGGCGTTACTCTCAGCAAGTAAATACCGGAAAGCTTCATTTTTTTTTTCTACCAAAATAATTCGCACTGAAAGAGTTAAAATACAGACTTCACTTTGTTTCGTTCATTTAAAGTTTTTTTAAATGTGATGACAATTTCATATTACAGACCAGCGAGAGATACGGAAATACGTGGAAAGTTAAAAAATTAGGAAGAAAAAATATTCGGACAAATGGTGAAGAAAAGAAAGTTTCAGGGAAAATAAAATAAAAACTGCACAGGCTTAAGAAAAATGACAAGAGAGAGAAACACACAGAGAGAGAGACAGCAGAACCAAAGGAAATGAAGATAATTTAGCTTTACCAGGAGAATGAAAAAGTGCTGAACAAATTGAGAGCAAACGTGGAATGAAATCGTTACAATTTGAAGATTTTTATTTAATTTTGTTTCATGTGCAGTTTGAAGATGTGTTTTTAATTTTAGAACTGCTCATTTAAGGACAAGGGAATGTACAAGAGGAATCATTGAATGATTGAATCAGAAATAGACCGACGGACAAAACTAGCTGCAACTTATTAACGACAGACAATGACAGTCTTTAGTCTCGAATACATTATTATTGCTAATGAACCCTTTTTTTTTTATTGCGCAAGGCATATAGGCCTATTTTTAAACTTCTGAAAAAAAATGACGTCAATAGTATGACCTGAATATTTACACTGTAACATGGTAATAATTTAAAATTGATAGTTTCATTCGTGCTTTTTCTGGAGACAAAATTTTCATGGTTAACAATTTAGTTTTACCAATCAAATAGTGAAAGAACAAAAAGTTGTGTAAAAAGAAGGATTTTTTTTCATAGAAACACAAATATTTAACAATTAACTGAACTTTTTTTTTCAATAAGCTATTTTGTTCATCAGCGAAACCTGTGGGTCATTGACCTGGTCATCTTCTGGAGGTCTGTAATCAAAGATTTTTTTTTTTTTTATCCCTTTGTTGACTTATAGTCATGACTTTGTTTGGCTGTAGCAGAGAAGTCTATAACTGTTTTTCAAGTAGTTTACAGTAAAAGCGAATGCCGACTGTGGCTGGTATTTCCGTTAGACTTAAGATCTGGCTAAACTTTAAAAAAAACTATTTATTCAGTTTTAGTGAAAACCAAACACATTAGCTAAACCATTTCCAACAGAAACAAAGCACTCCATTGGATTCGTCTAGCTAAGTAAAACTTATCTAACATTATCTACAAAACACTTTAAAATTCTAAATACTCCTGCAGCGAAACAAAACAAAATTATCTAAATCTTTTTTGAAAAAAACCTATCCCTTTTTTGTATAGGTCAGTGTTTTTTTTGTTTTTTTTTTGTGTTTTTTTTTTTGTTTGTTGTTGTTTTAATTTTTTTCTTTGCGGTAAAATCTAAAACGTTCTCTACGTTAGAGTGAATTATAAAATGGAAATATTGTTTCGCTTAAAATGTTTTCCAACGACCCATTTGTAGACAGATTTTATAGTAACTCAATTAACTTAGCCTGAAATACAGTAGTTATATGTGCGCGTCTTTCTTTGCTCGCGTATGTGTGTATGAGTGAGTAGATATTTGTGTGAGGGAGAAGTTATATGAGTGGGTATAGCATAATATACCTACATTTGTGTTTTTATTTAGGGCTCTTAAAACATTGTATTTTAAAGTTTGTTTATAAAATTGGATAGATGGAATTTCCATCCATTTAAAAGTAAACATTTTAAAAGCAATAAACTTGTACACTTAGAAATTATACCATTCAATTATATCGCGCCTAGGTTTTTTTTTTTGTGTTCTGTTTTTCTTCCAGTTCTATAATGTACAATCACGTTTCAACGGAATAAGAATGATATTAAACATAGATCTCAGCATATGTAAACAAAGACTGAGAATCGTGGCATCTTCCTATGCAAGCTAAGCGCAATCAGTTAATCAAGATTGAAGTTTAAATTTATAATGAACACTGATCGGGAGATGAAGCAGCACAAATAAACTCATGAATCAGCATTCTCTAATAATTCATGGCAGCCACATTCTCGACATTTCAAGAGTATTTTATATAAGAGACATATTTAACTACCTGATGGCGTGCCTACCTATCTACCCCTACTCCCGGCCTGTCTACAATTCATAAAGACATGTAATGTCATTATGAAGCTTGTCTCCAATTTTGTAACATTTCGTGTAAGGGGCGGATGAGACACGAGTGGATTAGACAAAATCATAATGTGATCTGATACACACTTAACTACAAACAATTCAGGCCAAAGGTTTTAATGACAGAAAATGGTTCTTTTTTTTCTTCTTAGTAATTGTCTAAAGAGTTTGAGTAGGAGACTCTTGGAGCTCAAGGCCTATGGAAGCTCCAACCAGGGGTAAATTTGTTATGTCTCTGTTACTGATAGCTCGTATCACAAGACGTTCCAGCTAGAGCTAGAGGCGAGGCGAAGACTGAAATATTAAACGTATAAAACTCCCCCGTGTGTGACATGGTTGTTGGGGCTTTCTTCCACCCCCGTCAGTACAATGGGCTTTGTCCAACGGGGATTTTGTTTGGCGTATCTATTGGCCTAATCGTCTCAGTTAACGACCGATTCCACCTGGGCGCCGCATTGAGGCTAAGAAGTATTGCTTTGGGACAGAAAATAGTCAAGGAATTGATTAGTACACTGGCTAGTTTTTTTTTCTTCTTCCTCTAGTTTCATTCTCTCTCATTTTAATTTCAACTTTATCATCTATCTATCTATCTATCTATCTATCTATCTATCTATCTATCTATCTATCTGTCTATCTATCTATCTATCTATCTATCTATCTATCTATCTATCTATCTATCTATCTGTCAGTCTATCTATCTATCTATCTATCTATCTATCTGTCAGTCTATCTATCTATCTATCTATCTATCTATCTATCTATCTATCTATCTATCTATCTATCTATCTGTCAGTGTATCTATCTATCTATCTATCTATCTATCTATCTATCTGTCAGTCTATCTATCTATCTATTTATCTATCTATCTATCTTTCTATCTATCTATCTATCTATCTATCTGTCAGTCTATCTATCTATCTGTCAGTCTATCTATCTATCTGTCAGTCTATCTATCTATCTATCAATCTATATATATATGCCTATTACAACAAATACTACACACTATATAATACAAAAGACGAAATGTAAACTTTCAAAGAAATAATTAACAACAGAACAATAAAAGTAATGGAAACACAAACTCTAATTCGACCCCCTAAGTGGTCCAAACAGGTAGGTAAAAAGGCAGGTTTCAATATTTTCAGAACGATTATCATAATGAAATTCTATCAAAGGCAAACAACAGAGAAGAATGGAGAAAGAAGGTTGACAGATCCTGTGTGGTGCCCCAACGTTCCAGCAAACCAAGGGAGATGTGAAAGTGAAGGTGAAGCTAGATGTGAACCTGGCCTAAGTAATGTCATATTATGATTATCTTATTGATCTAATTGTTTTGTAAAGGTAATTCTCTCATTCAAAGTCACAAGAAAAAAATAATATTTTGGTAAAAAATAAAAAAAATATCCATTAGTTACGGCAAAAGTCACCTCCTTTACTACATTGCCTCCCGTGTTTGTTACTATTAATAGTGAATAGTTGTAAAAACTTTAATCATGACTTCGTTTTCCGAATTAGTCCCCGTAGTAAACAAGAATCTGAGATCGCCAAGCTTTTTGTTTCTAATACGCGTGTTGTGATTTGGTTGATGTTGAACTTGAATTTTTATATAGGCCAAAAATGTGTTAATTACATGTCATTTCTGTCCATTTACTTGTACATTGAACCGAAATAAACACACACATACACACACACTCACGCCCACACCCACACAAGGGCTGTCTCACACACCTTCTCACATACAGAAGCTCAACCAAACTCACACTCACGCACGCAAGCTATCTCTCACATATAGACATAAGAGCACTCACACACACACACACACACAAGCTATCTCTCACACATAGACATAAGATCCCCTAACACTCACACACAATCACTTGATGTTTTAGTCGACTGGCCGTTGAGGTCTCTAATTGGTCTTTGGAGATGCTCCCTTTCAAAACCTCCTCCCTACTTTTGTCTCCTCTTGATTGATTCCCCGTGTCCTTCAGTTCTAGCCATGGTCAAACCCGTACCCCACCCCACCCACTTCAAGTACTCCGCAGAGTATATTTAAGGAAACATTCAGAAAGCCCTTTACATTTTTTTTAAAATATCTTTTTTTTTCTATTATTTCAAGATTGAATGTAGTACTTTTACTTTAGAAAGAATGAATTAACACTTAAAACATTATTTGTAACATCTTCATAGCACTTGGAACAATAAAAAGAATACAATTTAAAAAAAAACAAGGTTACAAAACAGTTTGTGTGGAAACTCAAAACCGGCCCCCGTAGTGGTCTACTAGAGTCTTCACCAGGATTCGAACACGGGACTTATGCTTCCAAGTGCTTTACCACTCAGCAACGCTTCTCCATATATTCATTTAGCGTACACTTATATTTTTTTAAATAATAATTATTAACCTTATCCATACATTCAAAATTAATAACATGTTACATGTAATAAAGAGAAACTAAAAAAGATTTATTCTTCTTACAAAATCATATAAATATACACGAAAAAAAAAGTCTTGACCTATTTTAGTTAGGTAGTGAGCTAGATAGAAAAGACTTGAAAGACTGTATCCCTGTGTCTCACAGAAAGCATGTTTACTAAAGATTGTACACCTGGGTCTCACAGAAAGCATGTTCACTAAAGATTGTACACATGAGTCTCACAGAAAGCATGTTCACTAAAGATTGTACACATGGGTCTCACAGAAAGCATGTTCACTAAAGATTGTATAAATGAGTCTCACAGAAAGCATGTTCACAAAAGATTGTACACATGGCTCTCACAACTTGATCGGGAAATGCGTATGGGGAAAATAGCGTTAACAATTATTTAACGGGACTAAACCCATCAAATTTAGCTATATCTGTGAATACTGAAGGATTAGTTTCCCTTGTTGATATTAAACACAATAATTAATTACCAGTACTTAATTATTAATTGGTTACTTTTTAAAATTGATTCATGTCTTTTCTATGTCAAGGAATAATTGTGCGAAGTTTCAGCTTGATCCAAAAATGGGTGTAGGAGAAATAATGTATAGGCTTACACACTTTTTAACAGACTGACAGAGTGAATTACAATAATATAGGGGCTATTACACTCGTTCTCTGTATAACTCTCGTAGTTGTGAGTTTACTCTTTTTATTATTTTAAATTAAGTTAAATGTTCTCGTACAATGTCATAGTACACACCGACACCAGAACGTCTGCTAAAAAAAAAAAACGTCCCAAAAGTCAACCTCAAGCCATTGAAACCAATCTGAAGGGTTATCAAGGAAATTGAAAGTTCATGTTTTTTAATTCTCCATAGGGAAGCTACATGCTGCTCTTGTGAGGTTTCTCTCTCCCCTTGAAACCTGATTTGTACGGCCTTCCAACACTTAATGAAATTGTTTTTGACAAGAGCGCCTGAAAACTCGAGTTCCAATTTTTAAATCAGTTTCTCAAGGCGATCAGTAAATTTATTTCTTTGTAGACATGACACAAATGTAAACTATTTGACTTTGAATGCAACCAATACAGTGAATAGTAAAGACCAGAGCCTGAAAACATCAAAGCATCCACAAGACACGGCAAGTCTACACATTCTCTTCACAGAAACAACGTAAACCTTCGTAACACTACCACAATATAATGTTATTTGTATGGAAATACATGATTATAACACTATAACACGAGTATAACACTATACCATGAGTATAACACTATAACACGAGTATAACAATATAACATGTGTATAACACCATAACATGAGTATAACATATTAGCTTGAGTATAACACTATAACACGAGTATAGCAATATAACATGTGTATAACACCATAACATGAGTATAACACTATAACATGTGTATAACGCCATAAAATGAGTATAACACTATAACATGAGTAATACACTATAACATGAGTATAACACAATAACATGAGAATAACACTATAACATGAGTATAACACAATAGCTGAGATGCCCAAATTGCTTGGCTACGGCTTTACCTAACTAGGGGGCTTCAGTTCGAATACAGAAGAGTCAGAGGTTACCGAGCGCCGGCAGCATGGAAACCTTCCAGATCTGCCCACTGGTCCACAAAAGAGATTAGACCACAGCGCACTGAGCGTGCTGTAAGCATGAAAGATGAGCTATATATAAGCTATTAAAAGAATATTAACACAATAACCTTAGTATTTGACGATCAAACTGTACAATAGTTAAAATAAGCTACGCCCTCCTCACCTCTCAAAGGGACTAAGTAAAAAATGTAGTACACAGTACATAAACCTTTCATCTGCAGGCTTAAGTTTTTGTGGTTTGTTTTCTTAACTTGAAATAAAAAAGAGCACTGTACAATTGTGCACTTTTATCTTATCTTGTCTTATATGATAAGATAAGATAATTTTTATTGGTTCAAACAAATGGAAATTCAGTTTGACTACAATTGACAACCTCAGCGCAACTACAGTAACAATGACAATATAGATGCAAATATGAACAGAGGCGAAGTGAGGAAAACGTGCGCCCGGGGCAAGGTACTTTTTATTGGCGCGAAAATAAGAGCGCATCAAAGTCCAAGTGAAGCTTGGGACAAGCTGATATTGAAGTGTGAGATAGAGTCTAGGCATTGGAACATGTACGTTCCTGATGAGCTGGATCCAAAGATCAAAAAGATGTCTCGTGCAGTGCCTTTATTTGTGAACTGAACGATGGCACGTGACTCGGTAGACATGTAACTGTTCTGACATAAGTGTAGCCGCTAGAATCTTCTTTCAAACCTCTTGATGACTTGATCTTGTTGCAGACGATTCTCACAAATGCAAAATGAACGGCCCTAATTAGTAGATGAAACGATATCAATTGATGTCATCATTTCTTTGTAAGCTTTGAGAATACTTTTAGTTTACATTGACTAATTATTAAAATCTGAATTACAACTACAAAAGTTTTTTGTTCTTGGAAAAATAAAACTAAAGCTTTGCGACCATTTGTCAGCACCCTTGGAAGTGGAGGGGAGCGCCCCTCAGTTTGAGAAACGCTGGCCTCAGAATTTGAACAACTCACAAAAAAAGGAGAATTTACATGATTCTAAGCTAAACAAAAAACTTATCTAGATGTTGCAAAAAAATTTTTTAAAATTTTCTTTCTAATTATTTAAGTGAACTCTTTTATAGCAGTTTTACTCATCTACTGTTCACTGAAGTATAATCTAGAATCAGATTTGCTATTAGTTAAATATTTTAAAACTGAAAACGCGATTATTCTTGTAGATGCCTATTGACCGATTGTCATAAACACAGCGCAGTGTACCCAACACGGTGATTACATCACTTTTAACGTGAGTGGAAGTCTCTTATAGAATTAAAATAAACTAAACAATAATTCATACGACAGATCATGTAATGCAATAAGTAATTATTTCTATGTGAAAATGTTTGTTAAGTTAAAAAAATTTTTAAAAATTGAAAATATCAATGAAATCATATTTGTTTTTGGTTTTTGCGGTCCCCTTCTGAGAATGACGCCCGCGGCATCACTCCATTGTCCCACCTCACACCCCTCTGAGTCCCCCCCCCTCCCCCAACAAAATACTAATCTTTCTTGTGTATATTCCACATTTTATCCAACTGTTCGCATATTTTTATCTCCCCTTTTTATATTGAAAAAAAAATGTTTCTTTTCTATCAGCTTCATACGTCATTCTAGTCATGTATTAGTTATTACTTGACAGCGTATTCTTCTAGTCATGTATTAGTTATTACTTGACAGCGTATTCTTCTAGTCATGTATTAGTTATTACTTGACAGCGAATTCTTCTAGTCATGTATTAGTTATTACTTGACAGCGAATTCTTCTAGTCATGTATTAGTTATTACTTGACAGCGTATTCTTCTAGTCATGTATTAGTTATTACTTGACAGCGTATTCTTCTAGTCATGTATTAGTTATTACTTGACAGCGTATTCTTCTATTCATTACAACATACTACAAGTCTATTTCTATCGTTTAAGTCTATCATTGGTTCAGGCGAGTCCAATGCTGGAATGGTAAAGCTCATTAAATCAAGGCGAATAGGAATACCGTAAAATTGATATGTCTGTGTGATGAAATGGGAGGGGGTCACGTGGACTTTGGAAGTTCTGATTTATCATTTCAGTGACCTCATTCTTTACAGTTAGTTCATACTGTTGTTAGACATTTTGTCAGCTAAATAAAGAACGGCACGCACTTCCGAATGAAAATGAAGCTTCCGGAAATGAAAAGTCGCAGACGAGTAAAAAGGCATGGTAGATTTAAAGTCTTGATATTTTTATTCCTGTTGGCTGTGTGGAAAGACGTTCTCATTTTTTTAAATTTAGCGTGAGACTTGAGAATGAAAACAATAAAAAAGTAATTTAAAAGAAAATTTCGAAAAATAAAGAAACTAAAAAGTTGTAAAATGACCTATAAGTTTCCATGATTTACTTAAAGTACTTAGGATTGTGTGCTGAGAAGTTGGTTTGTCTCCTTGGCTGGGAACAAGGTTTGGTCAATCAAATCTGACTATTTTTGGCAGAAGTTTTGAGAAGAGCACCTCCCCACTAGTGAGTTTGTCTTAGACTATTCACTTAGTTTTATACATTCTCAACACTTTTGACTTCAGTTTATTTTTCAGTGTAATTTAAGCTTGAGTATTTTTTTAACTTTTTGATTTTGAAACAAATATTTGTTTATTTATTCACAAATGAAGGTGTGGTCTGTAAGTTAACCATTCAATAGAATACGTCATCAAGTTGACGAAACAATTTATGACTTCTCATTTAAGTTGGCTTACGAAAATATGAACTACACTCTGAAACGAAACAAATAAGAACTCTTTTCGTCAAACTGAAAAAGTTTAATGTCTTCATTTCACTGAAGGATGCTATAATGCAATGCTGTTTTCATATAAAATACATTCAAGTGTCTTTTCAAAACAGTCCACAGATACGAGCCTTAAGCAGCTGTAGTCACTCACAAAGGCGGGATACACATTGGAGACCAACAGAAAATCCGCTGCTGAGAACAGACGCAGACTGCGAAAAGAAAATCTTAATCGACCCACCGCCGGACAATGGTTATGCTTTGCCCTTGATGTGGCAAAATATTTAGGTCACAGCTGGGGTTGCGTACCCACGGGAAATACTGCATTTCTCATCAATCTTTGGACTCGAAGACAAGCCTTATTACTATTATTATTTATTATCTGATTCGATGCTTTTCCTTCGCATACTAAGCAAATGAAAGACTTGAAAGTTCAAAGAATGAAATTCATTTCGGTGAGTTTTCTTTCCTTTGCGGAGTTTCCATCCGACTTCTCAGCGCTATGTGATCGACTCTGAAAGAAGAAAGCGAAATTTAAATGCTTCTAGAATTATGCGGTGAAACGTGAAATTCAGAGTGCAGTAAATTTAATGCTGGGCTATTTTAAATGTATCTGCAAGAATGAGTTTCTGCTTGTGTTGTTACGCAGATCAAAAGTAGGTCAATTTAGACATGAATCAAATTATGTGACAACTTGAAAGAAATATTGTAGCAAAGTGTGTCTTAAGGCTTGTGCAATGAAGGCCGATTACACAAATCCTATTAGTTGACAATGTACTTTCCATTGATAGTATGCCGGTATTTGCATTGGGCCTTAAAATAAAATCTATATTACAAGCGCAAAATACCACTTACTGACTATAAGAAATCTTTTCAACTAGCAAAGGGATTCGCATGAAATTTCGAAAACAAGTTCTTTTTACCTTTTAGGTGCATGCTAAGACACCGTTTGGACATATTCGCAACCTGAACACCACGATCAGCGAAAAACTGAAAGCTTTCTATTAAACATTGTATTTGATTCTCATTATTCACTCTAAAGTTCGCATTCGATATATAAATTATAAATATAAATAGCACCAAAATAAGATTTCCAATATTTTTTTCCTTTTCCCCTTATTCAAATTTTAAAAAAAACTTGTCTTACGTCACTTCCGCTTCCCTTTAAGACTAATTTTTTTAAATAACGAATTCTAATAGCATCAAAAGATATATCTATATCTGGAGTCTATTTCTTTATATATATATATATCGAGAGAGAGAGATAAAAATCAAGGAATGACATTTTGTATCCTTGTCTTTCGCTACATTCAAAAGAAATCAAATAAACGATTACAATTAAGAAAAACCAAATTGATATTTCTTTGTATTTAGAGGACACAAAACTAAAATAAATATAGAGTGGGGAATGGGAGTGTATGCAGGTCCAGCCCTAGGCATGGGGAAACTAAGCAGCCACCTAGGGCCTCCAATTAGTCAGGGCGTAGCACACGAATTTTTTTTAGAAAAAAATTGCGAATCCTGGATAACATCTCTAACATAGCTGAAGTCTATGGCTCTCTGTGTATTAGCTTCACTCTAAGTCTCTCTCTAAGTCTCTCTGTGTACTAGCTTCACTGTAAGTCTCTCTGTGTACTAGCTTCACTCTAAGTCTCTCTGTGTACTAGCTTCACTGTCTCTTTGTGTACTCGCTTCACTCTAAGGCTCTCTGTGTACTAGCTTCACTCTAAGGCTCTCTGTGTACTAGCTTCACTCTAAGGCTCTCTGTGTACTAGCTTCACTCTAAGGCTCTCTGTGTACTAGCTTCACTCTAAGGCTCTCTGTGTACTAGCTTCACTCTAAGGCTCTCTGTGTACTAGCTTCACTCTAAGGCTCTCTGTGTACTAGCTTCACTCTAAGTCTCTACTATCATTATTATGGGTGTTAACCCCCCCAAAATAAAAAAAAGGAAGACTACAGTCTCTAAATTCTATAAATGTACACTTCAAATAAAAAGAAAAGCAATGACGAAATCACTAAATTTCTTAACAGTAACTAAAAAGGGGGTTTTGAGTTCACCTCCCCCCCCCCTTTTTTTTGTGTGTGCTTTCCACATGACACCTTTGTTAACCGTTTACCATAGAAACAGGTGATATTTACACCATCTATCTATGTCAAGGTCTGAAAGGAGTAATTTGCTTTTTTTGGTTTTCTTTCTCAATGTCAGAGAATGGCGTCAGTTAACAACTGAAGAAGTAAGCTAAAGTCACGCGCTTAAATAACAGCTTTTATATTAACAATTGCTCCAAGGGAATAGATAGTAGCGTGAACACTTGGATAGCCTTGACATCTTTGCTGAAATTGACATCTTTAACTCCTGCAATTATTGTATCGGAGAAGATCGTGTCGAGAATTGCGTCATCCTTTTTAGCGCTAACTTTGTACATAATGTGACGTCATTTTTCTGCGATGAATAAGAATCTGACGTATCACTCTTAGGCAGACGTTATTTAGAAATACTTACATTAAATTGCTCAAGAGGGGATGCGGGAACCTCGTCGTCAAAATAAAGGTCATTTTGCAATGACAAACTAGCGAGGAGCTAATCACTTCACTTCCGTTCTGGTTCTGATCTGTAACGACATGGTAACATTTTCAAACATCTTTTAGCGTTCCGCTTGGCTGCATTTTCGACAGCTGCAGACCTGGTTAAAATATCACTAGTAATGAGAACGCTGCAGCAAAGCTCTGAAAGAATGTAACAGATACTTAGGAATAGGTAACTAACTTGCAATCACAATTAATATAAACAACATTTTTTTTCCTTCAGCCAGGATTTTGTTCGATGTCAAAAGTTAAGAGATTAGTATTTAGTACTTAAAGCAAACGTTTATTTCGCAAGGGTGCGTGATTTACTAGTTTGAACATTTGTGCTATGAAATACATACATATTAAAAGACAGTATAGAGACGCACCATAGTTGGCGTACTTTCAACATAACGTTTTATGACGTTATGTATTATTGTGTCTTAGTTTATTTATGTTTTATATTAGGTAGTTGGTGTTAGGAATTGAAGGTGACAACAATCTTATTACGGACAGAGACAGCACGTAGTCCATGCATCTGGTTAATGTTTAGGTCTTGTTCATAAGTAGTTTAAATGCACCTAATATACCCCTACAACCTGTCACACTGTCACAGACTCGTTTGAGACTCACTATGACATGAAGTGATTTCGTAGTCTCTTGATTATCTCGTGACTTTAGCACGGAAAAGTTATCGGTCTGTAACTGACCACCAAGTAAAAACCTCAGTAGCTTTTTGGTCTTTGTAGAGTAAGGATGTATATGTAGTTCTCAGCTGCGATGTATATTTTGTGAAGCTTGGTTGAATCAGAACATGGACTTGTAACTAAATTTTGAAATAATATTTGAGTGTTCACTATACCTTTGCTTTTGCGGCCCGTTTAGCCAGGTTATTTATTGAATAAATCCATCGTCTGCTGACAAGTTTGTTACTTAATGTATTCTAATATTTGTTGTGCTACACAAGTTGCAAGTTTACATGACATTCGAGTTGACTAAGTAAAGAAACACTGAGGTATGAACTTGCAACCCAACAGCTGAGTTACACAACCAACTCTAGCATCTTTTGAGTAATCTGTCGAAGTCATATAGTCATCATACAACTACAAGATCTAGGCCTATCACAATATATTAAGGCTTGTCTTCGAGTCCGGAGATTAGAGAGGAATGCAGTATTTCCAGTGTTTGCGCAGCCCCAACTGTGACCTATATATTTTGCCACTTCCAGGGCTAGCATAAACATTGTCCACAGGTGGTCGATTTAGATTTTCTTTTCGCCGTCTGCGTCTGTCCTCGCCAGCGGATTTTCTTTTGGTCTCAAATGTGTATCCCGCGTCCTTTGTGATTGACCTCCAGCTGTCTCGTTCTGAGGCCGCATGCAACCAGGTGCTCTCTTCTATGTCAGCTAATGCAAGTTGGCGCCTAAGCTTGTCTTTGAAGCGTTTCCGTGGGGAGCCGATGTTACGTCGCACATGCATATATAAACGTTGTCCTTGTTCTCGAAAAGAGGCTCGACAAAAGATGAGAAAAGACTATTGCTTCGTCACGTGATCACTAGAACCAAGTGAAATAGCAAACAGTGTTTTAATTTGTATCACATTGTGTTATTTTCGAACATACTTTATTGTCTTGTGTTACAGTCTAACACGGTACGGTACAGTCTATAACGTAGTGTGCTTGAGTGTAACAAAGTTGCTCACCCCTTTAAGCTTTTGAAAGATTCCATTTGTCTGCCTCTGTGAGTGGGTTTTTATTATACTCCGTAGTTAAAGAATATTTGATCATGTCATTTATCTCACTAATTCATTTTGCCAGACATATTTCTCTTCAGGGTATGACACACATACTATTGTTGGAGTAATTTTATCAAATAAATATAAACATGCCTGGATAGCTAGAGACTTTGCTGGGAGCTCCACTGGCCCGCTTGGTTATGTAAAGAGTCATGAAAAATTTAAAAATATTATTATTATAGCTTTTATGCTAGCTACTTTCATGCTTATAGCATGCTTAGAGCGCTTTTGGTCCAATCTCATTTGTGGACCGGTGGGGGTATCTAGGAGTTGGTTTTCCGTGCTGCCTTTGGGCGCTCAGTTAACACTGCTCTGCCCGAGTCGGGTGTCGAACCTCGAGCCCCCTTCTAAGTAGCCAAGCCAAGCCAAGTTCAAGCGCACTTGGCCTCTCGACCACGCTTCCCACATTTTGCAAATGTTTAATACAATGCCTATAAAACACTAACTCCGCAGGTTTCTTAATAATAGATCTTCACGCTTTGTGAATGCTCCATTTCTGTTCGGCACCCAAGTGATAAAACATTTAGTAGGATGGACATGGAGCCAAGTGATAAAACATTTAGTAGGATGGAGCCAAGTGATCAAACATTTAGTTATCGAGCCAAAAGATGGGAGACCAAAGCAAACAGGAGAACAAGAGACAAAGACGGTAGGATGGAGCCAAGTAAAGGGACAATCCGAAGGATGAGTACAGGTACGTTCCTATGCTCCACTGGGACTTAAACAAGGACACAAAAGTTACCATGCTAGCTACTTTCAAACTATGATGTTTAAAATAACGACATGATGATAATAATAATACAGGTGTTAGTTGTTCTTCAAATGATCTATATGCCTGCTGCATAATTTATTTTTTTTGTTGGCTGTAAAAGCATACGAATGACTAATGACAATCGATCAGAAGCCAATGAACAGTGACAAGGGACCACTACACTAGACTCACTATAGTCTGGCGTCAAGTGAACTTAAAAAAAGACTAGTTTTTTTTAAAGACAACGCACTAACATTCAAATAGGATGACATGTAATTGTTTCCTTAAAGAATCTATGAAATGGGATTTCAAACATGTGATCTATGGCCAGCTTAGAAGTAATTGACACAGACTCTGCATTGGGAGACGGTTAAGGGAAAAACAAGAACAGTATGATAGTAGACAGTAGTACACTCGGGAACAATTTGACTTCTCTGATAAGAAAAACGGCTAGAATCGCGTTGGCAAAGAAATGACTACTCAAGTTGAAATTTACTTTTTTAATATACAAATATTGTCCCTTGGATTAAAAAACGACGTCCTCCTGTTTGAGACTCAGTTTGTTTGAGATACGTTATTGTATTTTTTGCTAACGTACTTAATATAAATCTTAGAAAAATACATAAAATATACATTAGAAACAAATTTTACAAACTTTAGGGCTGTCGTAAATATATATATATATATATTATAATTTTCAACCAGCTCTTGTTCACTGAACAAAATTTGCAAATTAGTGAGGTGTAATTAGTGAGGTTGTACATTTTTATTCATCGATATATGATAGTTTTGTTTTTAAATTAACTTTAAAGATGAAAAAATGTAACTCACATGTTACCACACAGACCGCAAATTTTATAAATTTTATAAATATCAATGAAAATATCAAATATAAAAATTTTTATAAATATCAATGATGATGAATCATCTAGCCCACAGTTTTTTTTAAAGAACTTCAAAAGTCTGCCTTAGAATTTCGAAGTCTTTCGGAGAAACTGAGACAACCAGTTGAATGATCTTTAGTAGATCTAAATATCTCCGGTTCAGAAAGTGAATATAAACTAGGGGAAAGTTTCATATCCATTTATCTCAGGCCCCGAGCGGTTCTCATGCTTGTACATTAAGAACTATATCCCTGCGCATATGCATCAGCCACCTACGACTAGGAAATGAATGCAAAACATTTGGTTTTGTAACTGGCAATATAATTCTAGTAAATCCAGGAAACGAGAGGGGCTACTGCCCCAGGCCCAGCACCTGAGAGGGGCCCCGCGATATGGATATTCTGCCTATCAAATAAAAGATCTAAAGTACCGCACCAATTTTATAAACATACATCATAGGTGTAGGCAAAATGGTTGAAGCTTGTCTGACATCTATAACGATTACAACCTCACTCGCCACCGCCTAATGCGGCCTCTGCAGTCTCTCTTTCTCCTTGGTGCATAAAAAAAATGCAATTGTACATCTGTGTCTTTGTATGTGTGTGTGTGTGTTTTAGTGCATTGGCGTAGTTAGGGTGGGGGAGGGGGTTAAATTAAAAATCTCCAGGGTGGGGGCCCCCAAGTGAGTGTCTGAAATTAGTTTTTACATTAAAAAACTCATGTCATGAGGTCAAGCCCCCCCCCCCGTCCCCATATCTCCGCCACTGTTTTTGTGAAATATTTATTATTGTTTAGCTCTTATAATATCGTGTTTCCTATGTGTTATTCTCTACTACCTTGATGGTATAAGAGTTACTGCAGATTTCCTGTTGCTTTGATAGGAACTTTTTTCTTTGTATTGTATATGTCACTCGTGCTGGCCCAAGCCTTCTGCAGGCAGGAGGTTATAGTGAAAACAAGGTTCGAACTCCAGACTACAGTGATGACATTCCGAAGAGCTTATCATACCATCAAGCAACTACTTTGATTTCAAAAGTGCCCATTAAAGATTTCAAAAGGAAGAAATACAAAAGAAATAATTGTTGTTCGTGTTGTTGGTGAGTCCATTAGCTTGCAAGTAGAGAGACACTCTGTTTTACAGTGTACATTTAACTCGCTCTTCAAATAAAAGCAACAAAAAAAAAAATTTTTTTAGAGGCCTTTTAGGAAGAAGCTGTTATTATTATTGTTCTGAATAAAATATACTAATATTTACTACTCTTATTCTTCTTATTTTGCTGTCTGTCCTTCTGTCTGTCACGTTAGGATCTCAAAAACTAAAAGTTGTATTAAAAATTTGGATCGTATTATCTCATGTGTCGTGCAATGACAATTGTTTTTTTTAAATTCACCTATCTCCAAATTAATTTTAAATGTAGATTATTATTAACCAGATTTGTATTCTTCTATCTTCATTTATCTAGAACAGGGGAGGGGGCAATTTTAGGAATAGGGAAGCTAGAAAAATTATGAAACCCAGTCAGGGGGACTAGCTTCCCCACAAGTGCAGAACGCACACGCCTACTATGTGTGTTAATAACGCATCTCTTCAGACTCTAGATCTTTTGTAATTACATTTTAGGAAAACATTGTGGCCACAGGATTGTTGAGAGGTGTGGATACAACAGAAACACTATGTCTATCTCCTCATTTTCATTCGATGTTCTTTTTTTTTTACAAATAGGTTTATAAATACTTTTTTTTAAAAAGCCAATACCTCCCTTACCTATATACAACTTATGGAGCAATTATTTTTCTCTTAATAGTTGATCACTATTAGTTTAGATTTAAAAAATGGAGCATTTTGTACCCCCGCCCTATCCTCCCCTTCCCCCCCCCCCCCCAAAAAAAAAAATCCAGTTTAAGCGATTGTATAGAACATAAGCCTAGATCTACACGAATTTACTATTAAACTAGACTTTTTGGGTTTGCAAAGACCTTCCTCCAGGGAACAGTACCAGGTTAAAGAAGAAGAGGCCGACAGAGAAAGCGATGAAAACACAACATAAAAGAATGGACGGCCCTGCCCTTGAAAGAGGTTCTATCCAAGAGCAAAAGACAGAGAGGAATAGATAAAGACGGTTTACAAATCTTGTGTAGTGCCAACAGACTACCCCCAACAGACTAAGGGATAGGTAATGGTGAAGACTTTATACTATTCCAATGATAGGCCTCAAGATCTAGACTTAGAAGTCGATGCGCTAATAGTTCCTGAGCATTAATTTAGTAAACTATTCAAGGAATTTGGAAATACCCGAAGAATCCGTTCAAGATAAATATTTTCTAGTTTTCTAGATAAATTTCAATACATTTCTCATTTTACTTTAAAACATTAAAACGGTCAAACTAGAGTTGTCTCTGTGGCCAACGAGATAGTAATTCTTTTCCCAACAATATACATCAACTGTAAAAATTTCTTTGAAAATCGTTAGAGCCGTTTTTGAGATCCGTGTTCACCCAGTTTTTGAGCCAACCCAGACAGGTTTTTGAGCTAACCCAGACAGGCTTTAGTTTCCACTCAGGTTCAAGTTAAATAGAGTTATTTTTAAAAGCACAACAAAAATGATTATTTTAACGAAAAAAAAAAATTAATTAAAAAATTATTCAGCATTGTGAAAATAACAGTTCAAAAATGGGGCCGTTGGACGACCATAGCAGTTTTTAATGAATCAACACATTGTTAAATAAACGATTTAGGGAAACGTTCTTACCTGTTAGCAAAGGTTTTCGGATGGCCAGTCAGGTGCTCCTCTTTAAGAATTGAACTTTATAAAAATTTTCTAATTTTTTTTCCTTAGAAAGTGTCGGATTTATACTTTTATTCGACCTCTTATTTTTTTAGCGTAAAGTATAAATGTATAAAAGCTAACTTTTGTTGTATAAGTTTATTTCTGCTTCTAGGTTCAATTGAATTCTTTGGTTGCTAAAGTTTTGAAAGGCTATAAAAAGAAGAAAAGAACCTCCCAGGTCGATGATTGGTCGTCTGTTCGGAAGACGATATTTATACCAGAGATTTCCCGCGCTCGAGAGGCAGGCGAACTACAGCCGGTTGGTGGTAATTGTTTCATTTTTCTCGCCGATAACGCTTTTCGTTCGCTCTTTCTCTCTCTCTCTCTCTCTCTTCCTCTTTCTCTCTCTCTATCTCTCTTCCCCCTCTCTCTTTTTTCCTCTCTTTATTTTATTTTTCCTCCTCTCTTATTCCACATTTCAATCTCTTTTTGTTTCTCCAATTGTCTCTCTTATCAATTTTTAAAATGAAAAAACAAACAAAAAAATCATTTTTTTCTTTCAGAAAATAATAATTTAATGTGTCACACACTTTCACAGTCGCAGATATAAAGAGATGAAGTAGAGATTCCACAATCCTTGACCAAAACAAATTACCTAGCTATTGAAACAAACATGTCTTAATAGATTCCTATTTACTGTTTCAGGACTATCTATTAAACATTGCTGCAAGTTGTAGGCCTATTAGGCCACTGCAAATATGTTTCTACGTTGCTAAGGTCATAAAATATTAATTCTTGAATTAGGTATCTGTAAAATATGGCGGTGCAAGTGATGTTGTAGCTGGGATCGTCACCTCTTATTTCAGAAATGTTGACATTTTTAAAGGTGGAATCTAATGCTAGATCTAGAGATTTTAGTTTCTTGTGGAAACACTAAAACTATTTTTTTAAAGAGGCAACTTCGAGCAAACACCAAGGAAGTACCTCCTAATTTGGTTAGGTGGACCTATCACTTTAGTGCAGTGGCGTAGCTAGGGTGGTGGGAGGAGTGGGAGAATTTGAAAATCCTCCCGGGCCCCCACTTGAGGGGGGGGGCCGAAATGAGTGTTTTTTACATTTAAAATAAAAATATTACATAAAATGCAGGGACCCCAAAGAGGTCAAGCCCCCCAGGCCCCCAAACGATGGAAAATTCCTAACTACGCCCCTGCTTCAGTGCTATATTTACTATTGACTCAATACTTTTCATCAATACAAGTACATGCTACTTAATATAGAAACAAAAAAAATAGTTTAAATATCCAAAAACTAATTATATATTGATAGATCCATTTTGCATAATAAAAAAATAATATTTGCGTTATGATTGATATATATAGAAACATAGAGACAGAGAGAGAAAGAGAGAGAAAGAGAGAGAGAGAGAGAAAGAGAGAGAGAGAAAGAGAAAGAGAGAAAAAAGGATGTCGATTTAAATATGTGAGCTAATATGCCAGTAATGACTATATACACGGGTCATGCTTATTAGACAGATAATCAATTATTCTTCCAGAATCCAAGCTTTGATAGCAAAATTATTTGAAGATATAATGTCGTGGCAACAAATCACAAAATAGTTGTGTAAATAGATGACTATTAAGCAAATGTTAGCAAGATATAGATATGTTAGATGTCAGGAGAGGGAAGGAGTCAGCAAACTGTTGGTATCAAATTAAAATATTATTTTTTTTAAAGTTTCACAAACTCACAATGGGCTGGTAATTTTCAACTTCAGCATTAAAAATATTGTTGCTCGTGTCACGCCTGACAAGCGACCAAACTTTGCCGACCCCTGACTGTAAAGCAGAAACTCATACACAAATAAATCATCAAAATGTACAAATCAAATGTGAAATTAGATAAAATGTGGGATTTGATTTGTTTTTTCTTCAAAATGATACATTCAAATAAAAATAATGTGTTCATTTAATGTATGTCAGACCTATATGATAAGTAATGCACCAATACAAATATTGTGTTCATTTAATGTATGTTAGGCCTGTATGATAAGTAATGCGCCCCCCCCCCTTACCCGTTTTACAAATCTAAACATTTCAACTGCTATTTTTTTTTCTAAATGTGCACAACACGAATGTGTTAGATCTACATCTCGACCTTCACAAACAAAGCCTGGGTACTGCCTGAAAGATAGCAACCTTAGTGTGGGCCCCCACGTCTATGTGGAAATGTTTTCTATCGCAGAAGAGTTCGACTGTGACCAATGCAGTGTGGATGTGATAGAAAGTAAGAAAGCATCTTAATGTTTCATTTATTTGAGTTTCATTTTCAGTCTTTTAAGGCCAATCTTACTTGTTGATCTAAAGGTAATTTAACCTGTTGATCTAAAGGTAATTTAACCTGTTGATCTAAAGGTAATTTAACTTGTTGATCTAAAGGTAATTTAACTTGTTGATCTAAAGGTAATTTAACTTGATCTAAAGGTAATTTAACTTGTTGATCTAAAGGTAATTTAACTTGTTGATCTAAAGGTAATTTAACTTGTTGATGTAAAGTAATTTAACCTGTTGATCTAAAGGTAATTTAACTTGTTGATGTAAAGGTAATTTAACCTGTTGATGTAAAGGTAATTTAACTTGTTGATGTAAAGGTAATTTAACCTGTTGATCTAAAGGTAATTTAACTTGTGGATCTAAAGGTAATTTAACTTGTTGATCTAAAGGTAATTTTAACCTGTTGATGTAAAGGTAGTTTAACTTGTGGATCTGAAGGTAATTTAACTTGTAGGTCTCTGCTATTTGTTTTAGAGGCCTGCTCGCAACTCGACTTTGATGATTATACGTCATTTGATTGATAAGCTTTTAAGCAAAATGAAACTTAAGTCTATATGTAATTTTAATTTCACTTGTAGGCCTACAGGCAATTTAAACTAGATACTTAAAGACGATTTTACTGGTTGGGCAACATGCAATTTGAGCTGTAAGTCTCTTAGCCATTTCATTTGTTTACCTTTCTGCTGGGAGACCTACAAAGTTATTCGACCTAGTTTAAGTTTAAAAACGGCCCTCTGAGGCCAGCGTTAATTTTAAAACACCGATGAAGTTGGCCTACGGATGACCTACGGAATACGAGATTGGAGATCCTAAACAAAATGGTTGTTCCCATAACATTATATGTGGTAATGTTCTTCATGATAGGAAATGTAATGGGCTTATAATCAGCTTTGTTTGTTTAAAAGTCACATTTATGAAGATAACGAGACGATAGCCTGCAATGTCCAAAAAATATCTGTTCATAAAATAAATAAAATAAAATAACAAACTTTCTTTAGAATAATGTAGACAACAAATTTGTTTCCCCTTATCCGGACATTAAAACCATTTATTGTTTCTCGGGGGGGGGGGGGGGGGGGTATTTTTTTTTTAAAGGTTAGATTTAGCCTGTTTATTTCCCTTTGATTATAAACTCATTTTAATATATTCCAAAGTAATCTCCTTTGTGATGAAGTACATGCAATATGAAGTTCAACTGTTGTAGGTGTACTACTAAGGACATTTTTTAAAATAATCTATGTACTACATGCATAGCTGATATACGAAGAATCTTGAGCAAGGCAATATAGTTTAAATAGCATCAGTCATAGATCAGAAGAGTGGGCTACAAAACGGTTTGAAATCTCTCTAATAGTTAATAGGCAAGGGCTTATATATATAAGTTGTTGTTTTTTTTTAAATTCTAATGATCCGAATATTAAACGTCAATTGAGAGGGTCTAAATATTGTGATCTACAAAAAGGTAGAGAGGAAAAAACACGGCTCAATTTGAGAAATGGTGTAATATGCTTCAAACACTATAATAGAGACACAATATCCGTATATGTCATCAATATTATTTAGTTTACATCAAAAGTATTTTTTGCTGGGTTTAAAAATAATATTATCCCTGTGTAAATATTTGTATCTAAACTATATGCATGTAAATGAAAACCCTGGTTGGTGCCAAATAAAACAAAAAGTAGGCCAATTGTTGGTTTCAACTTATGACACAATCTCTGAAAGGGGCGAAGATTTCATTTAGCGTATCTGTTGGACGATGAGCATGATCCCTCCAATGGCGTACAGAATTGCCCCTCCTATAGCTAACCCCATTGACCAGCCCACTTGACCACCATATCCCCTGTGATTTTCAATATTGGTCGAGGATCCGAATATGGCGAATCCTATGCAGGCAAAGGCAACTGAAACAGAAAAAGATATTAGTATTTACTATTTTGTCTCATTAATTTCAATGTCTGTGGAAGAAATTCTACAAATCGAAAATATTTTATGACACATATGCACCCTATATGTTGTAATGATTACGTGATTACGGCATCGAAGCTACATTGCATGTGTAGCAGTAGATTATGTCGGATGGGTAGCTACCTAGTGTTTTCAATGTCATCCGTTTTAGTAATGTCGGGTGTATGGGCCTTTTGGTGGCCCCCTCCAGCCTCAACGATGTTTGGTTTAGGGGGGCGCTGGACTTACCCAGTAAGAGACTGAATGTGCAATCAAGATTGTAGATTCATGGACGCATGGTGGCTGAGCGGTAAAGCCCTTGGCTTCCAAACCAGGGTCCCGAGTTGAATCCTGGCGAAAACTGGGATTTTAATTTAGGGATCTTTAGACGCCTCTGAGTCCACCCAGCTCTAATGGGTACCTGACATAAGTTGGTCGTTGTGCTGGCCACATGGCACCCTCGTTAACCGTGTGCCACAGAAACAGATAACCTTTACATCATCTGACCTATAGATCGCAAGGTCTGAAATAGAAACAACTGTATTCATGCCATTCTACTGTGTGATATCTAAAAACTTTCCAAGCTGTACTTACGTCCAGCAAAAGCCAGTGCTGTAACAGCTTGAAGAATGTCTCGGCGTCTGCATGAGTTGGCGAAGACATAGAGAAAGAGAAACAGCAATGCCAGGAAAAAGCCAATCAGACCAAGACACTCCATGGCTTGAATCGCCTGGTGGTACGCTGCAGAGTAAATCAAAGAACAAACAATGACATTTCAGGTCCGCTGTGGAATGTTCTCCTCCATCTAAAGCCAACGTTACAAGCTGAATGCATTGAAACTTAGTTGAATGGAAGAGAAGTTTATCATATAGAGTGCTTGCTTTACTCAGGTTAGTGCGCTATCGACTATAGAGTATAAATAAAAGCACTAGATTTTAATTTAAACTTTTAAAATTAGCGATGGTTTTGTTTAATCTCCTTTTAGGCAAGCTGTTATGTTGGTTATAGTCTATTAAAGTTATGATCACAAAAATATGTTGTTTTTTTATTCATCTTACTCTATTTAGATGTTTTCAGTGCTTCCAGCCTTGAGTATTTTCTGCTAGATCTGGGGCATTTCTTATGTGCTACTTATATATCTAACGATTATTGCATACAGCGCAATACCCTGCTATATAATTAACATTATAAGAAGTGTAGGTCCTAAATCAAATCAATTTACTTCACTTTATAAGTGGAGCACAGCGACTGCAAGTAAAGCACATCTAACTTGTAGAGATGGGAATCTAACCAACTTTTCAAGTTTGGGTTCGATTCGGTTCGGTCATTTTTAAGCTCGAGTTCGGTTCGGTTTGATGAAGAGTATATTTCGGGTTCGGTTTGGTTCGGTCATATCTAAAGTTCGGTTCGGTTCGATGTTATGAAATTAGGTAATAGCAAAAACTGTGTGCATGTTTTATTTGTTAAACAAAACACAAAACCCAAAAAACAAAACCCAAAACCCAGGCCTTCTACTGCAAACCGGCTATTTTAATTTCCGGAATAAATTATTATTTAGTATTATAGACATTAAAATGTCGGCTTTCAAACAAATTGTTGATATATATTATGAAGAAAAGTAAATAATGTGTACACAGATTCTATGATTTTTCTATAAAAATTCGCCCGCGCCCCCCTTTCTTTCGGGAGGAGGGGGGAATAAAGGGGTGAGCAATCGCTTCTACCGCCCGCCCCGCCAGTCTGCGATCATAGTTAACTTACAATTTATTTACTTAGTATGTAGAAATGAATTTCTGAGCTTACAGTTGTTGGTGAAGTAGGTATATGTTCCACATCCTCCGCGAGAACAGGTGTAAGTCTGCCACAAGCCATTACTGCCACTAGGATACACTATCCAGCCAGTCGTGGCGAAGCCAATCACAAACAAGAGCAATCCAACGGCAAAGCTTACAAGGGCGACCTTGATCCAGATCGAGGCAGCTCTGAACACGTTGCACATTTTTTTCAGTTCAATAAAACCTGTTGGAAAGTAAATCAAATAGAACTTTCATTTCAACTAACTACACAATAATTTAATAATAATTATAATAATAATAGTTATAATAATAATAATCTTGACTATCTTAATATAAATTGTGTGAAGTCAAGTCAAGCATTTCTCAAGTGGTCAAGTGTGAACGAATGGACTGAAGATCGATACTATAATATTGTACATTCTCTTAACAACAGATTGCTGTACTTGGCGCTCGGCTGAAGGTCCGGGACAGTAACCCAATACTTGCCTTCGCTTACCGGAAATAGGTACCGAATTGATTTGAAAATAATATAAACCAATACAAAAATGTTGTTTTCTTGTATTTGGTAACTATAGCGATATCTAGATGTGGGAGTGGGAGGCTCGGCCTTTGTTTGCAGAGGGTGCACGTTGCCATTGGCTCAACTTTCTTGTTACGGAGAATTTTAAAGGAAAAAAAAATTATCACCCCCCCCCCCCCCCCCCCATCCATATGCGATAAAAAGTTCACTGTAAATAATTGTTTTATGAAATACAAAAGAACTAAACAAGTCAGGGCCAGATTTAAGTGAGGGCAGACAGTATACTTGTAGAATGCTCGGACTAAGTAAATACAGCTTCGGATTGACGACATTGCTTATATCAAGGACCTTAGTCTCCACAAACTAAAAAAATATACACTTTTTAAAAATAAAATATTCATATTAAATACAAAAAGAAATGAGATTCAGTGTACAATAACTCTATTTCTTTCATCTAAAATAAAGCATGCTTTTAGATAGACTGTATTTTCATGTATTAATTCAATCATTCAAGCTTTCGAAAAATTGTAGGGGCCTTTACAAAAATCCTGCCCCGGGGCCACCACATACTTAAATCTGGCCCTGAAACAAGTAAAATCACTTAACCTAGAGACACTAAGAAGACAAAAGAATAAAAAGTAAAGTAGCAATAATAATAAAAAAACAACACAAAACCATAACTTACAAATAGAAAAACAAAACCTAATGAAATACTCAGAAAGACACAAAGACATATTGCTTATCCCATACGCTAGAACAAATTCTTACAAGTGTTCCTTCTTCCCTAGCGCCATTAGAGAATGGAATGGGTTGCCTGAATCAGCCAGGAAATATATCTTATCCCATACGCTAGAACAAAGTCGTACTAGAGCTTCTTCTTCCCTAGCGCCATTAGAGAATGGAATCACCTGAATCACCCAGGAAAACCAACGACTTAGCAGAATTTAGTCATTGGTCAACATGCATGACTAGATTGACACATGAAATGCGTAGGAAGTAATTATCGTCTATTTTGTAGTTACATTTATAATACGACCGAAAAGATTAGCTTGGAATGGAGATATGTTAAAACTGTGCGTTATTAAAGTTGTCCTTTTTTTTTTTTTTACTTTTGGCTTTAGTTAAGTTTGTATCAAAATTCCTCTTTAAAAACAACTTTTGAATCAATATTTAATTCCATGAGTATTGTTAATATATGTATGTTATAATAATCTATTGTGACCTTAGCTGTAGATTTTTTTTTACCGATGCGCGAATCTATGAATGAAGCTTGACATTTTAATGAAGACGTCTGTGACCTTTTAAAAAAGACTTACCTCCCCTGACGTTTTTCATTTAAAAGAGGTGCATTTTTTTTGTTGACAAATTTGGTTGCATAGCTAATTTTAAAAATTAAGTGGTTCACTTTCAGAAATGAAAAAAGTAGCATCAGAACTTTGAATGATCTAAAATATCATGATGTCTGATTTTCATTTTCATTTCTAGTATCTGAAATCTAAACGGGACGGACGGACGGATAGAGAGACTATATAAAACTAACGGCGGCTATTCCTATTTCGGTGGCCTCTAACAACAGCTAGAGATTGTTTGATAGCTACATTCCTACTATTATGACATTCACGCATTCGCTTTACTTATAACGTTTTTATTTCGTTTTATTATTTCTAATACAATTTATCAGTGACGATATCAGTGAAACGAAAATTAAGTCCCGCGGGTCGCGGGTAATATATGGCTAGTATGTATATATTCGCACATTATATTTTTATTTCTTTATATCGGCTAATCGTCTCGCGCTTTCTGAACGCTTATAAAATAAACATGTGTTATTCCCCCTTCCGCATTCATTCCCCTATCCTTTTGTTCACAAGAGTTTTGCCCCTTACATAGACTCTCTGGTTTGGCTTTTACTCTATCGGCCGTACATAAACAATGCAGTCCTAGTCGCAGGCAACTATCTTATTGTTCATGTTTATTTTTATCACACCAGATGTTTTATGATTATTCCGTTTGTGCATATGCATTGATCTGATCTCATTGACTTGCAATATTGGCAATTGGTAATCTTGATGTGTGTACATTAGGGTGTCCCAAAATATTGATGAAAAATTTTTTTTTTTAATTTTTGGTGGGACACCCTCCCAAAAGTTTCTTATAGTTACCAATATCATCCACTGAAATTATTAGGAAATTTGAACAATATTTACTGGTGCCTCAGAGCATTCAAAAATTTGGTTTGGTTTTTAAAGATGGCAAATAAAAGTTCTGTATCAAGAAAAAACAGTTATGTTTGGTTAATAGGATATCCTAAGGAAGCTATACTTAATGCACGTCTTCCTTCCGGCCGTGATGCTATGAGAACTTTCTTCTTCTATCATAAATCAAGTAAAATGACAGTTGGTGAAAGTGCCAGGTTGACATTTGAAGCCGTGCAGTCATTCTGGTTAAAGTCGTGATTACCCATAAGAAAGCAACAACATTGTATCGAGAAGATCAAAGATCTTTACAATGAACACAGGCAGCTGGTGAAGAATCGTAAAAGAAATAGCGATTCAGATGGGTTAAAGCAAAAACAGTACAGTATAAAACTTGATCAGCTGTTGGACATAAGTCATTCAAGTGCAGCACAAATGATAAATAATGAAGAGGATCGCCAGTTTCTGAAATTACAACAGCAGTCGAGAGCAGGCTGTATTGGAACGGTGGATAAGAAATTGGCTGCAAAGGAAAAGCGCTCTCTTGAGCGTCGTAAGCGATATAATGAGTGGGCTATTTCTGTAAAGAAACAAACGACAAAAGAAGATGGTTTTTGTCTTGCAACTAGCAGTAATAATGACGATGATACCGATGTAGAAGATCTTGACGATGACAATGAATTTATTATGAAACAATCCAGTAGGGCTGGCAAGAAACAGTGTAAACGGCGTCGTGTGATTTCTTCTAAAGTTTCAGCTGTCCTGGATCGCACGAACACCAGCACAAGGGCGGCAACTATGATACTGGCATCGGCTTTCAACGAAGCTGGTAGTTCTACGTCTACTGTGGTGCTTTCCAAGAGTACAGTTCACCGACAACGCCAACAACGTAGAAAAGTAGCCGCACTTGAGATTAAAACAACATATGTCCCTTCAATATCTGTTGTTCACTGGGATGGCAAACTTATTCCTGATCTCTGTCACACAACTACATCCATATCTGATAGATTAGCAATTTTATTGTCTTCCCTCAATGACGGTAACGTAAAACTTCTCGGTGTGCCGAAATTACAGAGCGGTTCAGGTCAAGCAGCAGCAAATGCCGTGGTGGATAATTTAAAGTCTTGGTCTTGTGAATCACAAATTATCGGTATGTGCTTCGACACAACTGCAGCAAATACGGGCAAAGTAAAAGGTGCATGCAAACTTCTTGAGGTGGCACTTGGACGCAATCTTCTTTGGGTGGCATGTCGTCATCATATGTTTGAAGTATTGCTAGCTGACGTGTTCACTGCATGTCTGGGACCTTCCACTGGGCCAGAGATTGCCATATTTAAATTGCTTAGAGACAATTGGTCAAAGATACATCATGAGTCGAAACACATTTTTCCACTGATAGTGGTCTCAGACACAGTAAAAGCGTTTATCTCTAAAGAACTTCAGCAAAAACAGCTTCGGGAAGATTACCGAGAACTTATTGCTCTTGCTGCACGTGCTGTTGGACTTGATGTCTCAGAACCGATTCGTAAACCTGGTGCTATTCATAGAGCAAGGTGGATGGCTAAAGCCATTTATTCTCTTAAAATGCAACTACTGTTGGATGGTAATGAAAACGTCTTGCAGCTAACAGATCAACAATTACAAGGAATTCAACGCTTCAATCATTTTGTTCTCAAAGTTTACATTCAATCGTGGTTCACTTGCTGTTCAGCTGTTGATGCAGCTGTTAATGACATTTCCTTGATAAACAGACTACATGACTATGAAGAAGTTCATCTCTGCAAAATTGGGCTAATGATGATAAAACGCCATTCCTGGTACCTTAGCAACGAAATGGCAACATTGTGTCTCTTTTCAGATCTTGTATCTTTGGAAAACAAAGCAGCTCTCGTCACAGCCATGATCTCAGAAAGGGGTCCTCATCTACTAACAACATTGCCAGACAGTATCACCGATTTACAGATCTCTCGTGAATTTTTCACCACGACTAGAATCAACTGCAGCTTCCTCGACATCCCAGTCAAAGATTGGCCCCATAATAACGACTACTATGATGCCTTACGTTTGACTAAGAACTTGAAATGTGTTAATGACAGTGCTGAAAGGGGTGTGGCATTGATACAGAAATTCAGTGCAGCTGCAGTAGATGAGGAGCAACAGCAATTTTTGCTTCAAGTTGTTGAAAAACATAGGCAAGACTTTGCGAGTTGTAATCGTGAAGATTTGGAGCAAATATAATGAGGGATTTCGTGATTAAGACTTTGGATTAACATGGATTAAGACTTTTTAATTGCTAATTAAGATTTAAATTCTTATGAATGTTGAAAATATAGACAGGACTTTCTGAAATGGTATCATTGTATCATTCTTTATATATGTTCTATATTAATAATGTTTAAAACACGACGGTTTCAAAATGTGTTATCAGTTACTATAATTGTTGATATGGAGGATTTTTTCACTCATCTGAGGCACCTCTAAATCATCTTCAATTTTCTTGAAATTTTGTATACATTGTTATTTTGCATAGAAGACACTTTTTAGGTGGTGTCCCGTTTGGAAATACGACTTTCAATTTTTTGGGACACCCTAGTGTACATACAAGCTTAAATTATTTTAGATTTAATTGTTATTTTTCTCCATCATTGTTGCCCCCCTCCCCTCCACTTTTTTTTTTGCATATTATATTTATGTAAAGTAATTCTTTATGTTATAATTGTAAACATGTGGTTTTAGCTCGGTGAGTCTGTCGATTGCAAATTCTCGGCAGCTTGGGCGTAGCCAGGATTTTTTTCGGGGGGGGGGGGCGCCATATATATATATATATATATATATATATATATATATATATATATATATATCTTATATTATTGTAATAACTTAAGTGAGGCAACTCAACGAGACATAGACGTTTATTCACACGACATCACAGGTACACAAAACAACATCTATCTTAGGCACAATCTCTCCATATTGGCTCTTTACTTGGGCGGAAATCGTTCTCCTCTTCTAATGTTAACATCCTTTCCAGTCTAGTTTATCACAGTGCGCACCTTCTAGCTTAGATGGCGGTGCGAATGGCAGAGTTATAACATTATATTAATCTTTATTACATTCTGACTCTTCATTCTTTCGGAAGACGTTTATTGTATCCTAGAATGGGTGCTTCCTGGAGTAAGTGGAAAAATTGTAGACTCCTAGCCTTTGTCAGCAATGGGGTCTGGGGGAGCGCTGTGAGCTCCCCCAGCGCGGGGCGAAGCCAAGCACTATTTCCGGTATTGAAAGCCTAAAAAAATGCATATTCTGAGGTATCTACAGTGCATTATTCTGCTATTGAAAGTTTTATTTCAAAACCTAACGTGCTATTCTTACTGACTTAGATCCTCCCGCGCCGTTCGGCTCATTGGGCGGCAAGCTGTTTCCACAAAAATCTGTCACTGGCAATGTTTGAATTCCCACATGCTCTGAGGACCTCTATGAAAGTTCGGCGTGAAGTTGTACTAGGATGTTTCTGTTTTGCGATTTCCTCGTAATGGCCTCCATGTCATTGCAACTCTTATTATGAGTAATTCATTTTGTCGGAATACATGTCCCGCAAACCTCATGCGACGCTCTGTCACAACCTTTAAAGGGGTTGAATCTCAGTTCGGCAAAAGATTTCCTTGATTGAGACCCGATCTCTATAACTGACTCCTAAAATCCGTTTTAGCCATCTTAGTTGAGCCACATTTAGTGTTTTCAATTTCGGCAGTTGACTATTCACTGTACTTTATTAATGGAGTCCAGCCACTGGTAGAAGTGTGTAACGTTTCTTGGCTACGCTCTTGGAATTAGGTGACTGTAGTTTGCTTTATATTTTATATCGAAAAGGGAAGTTTTATCCTCAAAATCATCTGTTGTGGGGTTTTAAACTAAAAAATCTCTGGTGTTTTTTTTATTTAACAAATTCTAAACCCCATTCAGCTACGCTCATAGAATTTGCTGAGTGCAGGTTGCTTTAGAATAATATTGAAAAGGGGGTTTTCAACCTCAAAACTCTTTGTAGGTTGATTTTAAAGTCAAAACCATATGGAGTGGTTTTAAACTAAAAACTCAAAACCCCCTTTGGCTTGGCTAAGCTCAAAGAATTTTAATGTGTAGTTTACATTTTTTTTTATATTGAAGAGGTATTTTTTTAGCATCAAACCCCGATGAAGGGGGGTTAAAACTCAAAACTCTCTTTGGCTACGCTCATAGCATTTTGAGTGTAATTTTTTTTATAGAAGAGGTATTTTTTAGCTTTAAACCCTGCTGAAGGGGGGTTTAAACTCAAAACCCCTTTTGCTACGCTCATAGCATTTTCAGTGTGTAATTTGCTTTTTATATTGAAGAGGGGGGTTTTATAGTAAATTTCGGAGGGGGGTTTAAAATCAAAATCTTCCTTAGCTATGTTGTTAGAACTTGGGGATTGTCGTTTGCATTATTTTTTGTTTCTTTTGTTTAACTGCAAAACCCCCTGGTAGGGTTTTAAACTCAAAACCCCCTTGGCTGGGCTGGGGCAAGTGATGGTTTAGTATTAAAATCTCACATAAAATAAACAAAATCAAAGCAAAAAATCAGTCAGTAAAGACCGTTCCCCCCCCCCCCCCCCCGTGGGGAAATTTCATCTCGGGAGGGGGGGGGTTGAACCCCAACCCCCTCCCCCGGCTACGCCCATGCAAACTTAATATCAAGTTGGTCTGTCAGCAAGTCTCGCTTTATATAAGGTGCCTTCCCTGGAGTGTTCCTCTCTAGTCACATAGGTTTTTGATTATGTCATGAGACCGTTGATGTGCTGACAAGCGGCCACTATCTTTGGACAGACGGTAACATCTGGGAAACTGGTCCAAGAACGGATGAATAATTGACGACAATGAAAGACACATCAGCACTTACACGAGAAGCAGGCACTGATTACACATGTGCAGTTTTGTCAGGTTTGACCAGCAGCAAAGTTGTGTCTGAAAGAGCGAATGGATTTGTATTTCACAGTCCATCGTGCATCACACAAAAAGGTACATTTAATAACAATGCTCTCGCCTGGTACAGTCACGGAAGAAATTGATAATCTTTTTAATAACACGAACAGTAAACGTATATCCAAAACGTCATTCAGGTCACTGACAACAAAGTTAAGTCTGTAAGACACGCAATGGACAAATGCTGCGTTTGGATATATTCATGAATCTTTGCCTCAACACAGTTCTGAATGCTAGCCCATTACTGAGCAGCCATCGCAGCCTTTGGCTGAGTAGTTTGTCCATGTCTAGACTGTACTTAATGTATTTGCTGACAATGACGTCTGAACAACAGGGACAAATCAATGAAGTCTTCTCGAATACAATCGTCATCAACAAACCAAGCGCCCAAAGATATATGCAGTTTCATCACAGTTGCAGCAGTGGTGAACCAACAGACCCAGCAAATGCTGATTATTAATAAAATAATATTTCTATTTTTTTAGTTGAATCCAATTTTTTGTATATTATTTATTATTTTTGCTTCTTTGAATTGCTTCTATCTATATAATTGAGCATAGGAAGTAAACCAAGACTAATATTAGGTAGTATCCATCCTTAGGTCATAAGTCGTACCAAGCGAAACCTGTGTGCATTGGCCCGATTTTCTGATCGAATTAAAAAAAAAATTAGTTCGCATGTCTAATTAAAAAAAAAGTGCTCGCTTAAAAGGGCCAAAAGTCGCAAACCTAGTTTGAGAGCAATGCAGGTTTTTGCAAAATGGGATTTGAACTCCATTTGAATTGGCATAAAAAGAAGTCTAAAATCAATAACGCTGATCGTAAAGTTACAGGGAATGTACTCTCGTTTCATTGTCTAGGTCCGTGATGCAACTTTTAGTGCGTACGTTATCTCCCCTGCTCCATTCTTTGCCTTTATTTATTTTCATTCGTGAAAGAGAGAGGTGGGAGCTCACCCAAAAGTTTTAAGATACTCCACCCTCTATGACACAAGAATCTCACATGTTACAAGCACCTCTGCAAGAATGACGGAAAGAGTTGTGTGTGCTTGTGTTAGGGCAAGAGAGGGGGAGCGAGAGACAGAAAGACGCGAGCTAGTATCTCTGTGGGAAACCAGGTCATTTTTTTTTCTCCTGTTTTTCTGCTGTTTTTTTTATCTGCTTGTAATGCAGTATTTCTCCACCTTCTTCTAAAAGTACCCAACCAAACATAAACGGCACTTCATAGAACATTCAAAGATGTTTCAGACACTGTGGACACGCATTCTAAAGTACAACTATTACATTGATCAAATAATTGCTTGAAGAAAACAACACAATGAAAGTCTTACGGTACCTGCTAGACAGGAAATGATGAGACATTTTAGTTCAGTATTGTGCAATCATTTAGGATGAGTGAACCTTGAACAAATAGGAAGAAATTGTGGACATTATCTATTAGCTGTTTTATACTGATTGCTGTCTTCTTGCTCGTAGTAATTAATCATTGACAATTATATATGATAAATTTAAACACGTTTCTCGATGGAAATAGAAGATGTGTGGCCACTGTTAAACTTTTTGGACAAGTGTCTCAATGTAAATAGAAGATGTGTGGCCACTGTTAAACTTTTCAAAATAGAAGATGCGTGGCCACTGTTAAACTTTTCAAAATAGGAAGAATGTGTGGCTACTGTTAAACTGTAAAACAAAGACACTCAGTGTAGCTGTGAAACACTAGCAATCTGCACAGCTGTAAAAGACAAATTCTCATTGCGTATGTAAAAGATACCTTTTTATTTAAAAAGAAAAGCATATATTGGTGAACGTGCATCAATTAATTTAAACCAATCATGCAATTAATTTGTAATAGATCTAGAGTCGAGACTAACAAAATAAATGTGTACGATTGGAACTTTTTTTTACACTGCATTTGTTAAGCGCAATTTTCATGCATTCTGACTGCCCTATTGTCCAATCAGTTTCTTGGACCAGGTGGGGGGGGGGGGGGTGGAGGGGAGGGAGGGAAGAATGTTTTCATGCAGCCTTTCAAAAAAAAATTTAATAGGAAAATTTTTAAAAATTTGCTTGAGTCTCAATTCGAACTCTATGTCTCGAGCCTCCATGATGGAAACCCAATGACCTCATTCTGTACACGAAGCTTTGATCAAGATAATGTGTCTATTTTTCCATTGACTCACGTGTTGTCTCCCACAATGAATAGTTGTGCTAAGTTTAAACTGAATCTAAGAATGTGAAGTGGGAGAAATAACATGTACCAAGATTTGTACCAGACAGATAAAGTGAGCTTTTCTAAGATTTGTACCAGACAGATAAAGTGAGCTTTTCTAAGCTTTGTACGAGACAGATAAAGTGAGTTGATAGAAGCTTTGTACCAGACAGATAAAATGAGTTGATAGAAGCTTTGTACCAGACAGATAAAGTGAGCTGTTCTAAGCTTTGTACCAGACAGATAAAGTGAGCTTTTCTAAGCTTTGTACCAGACAGATAAAGTGAGTTGATAGAAGCTTTGTACAAGACAGATAAAGTGAGTTGATAGAAGCTTTGTACAAGACAGATAAAGTGAGTTGATAGAAGCTTTGTACAAGACAGATAAAGTGAGTTGATAGAAGCTTTGTACCAGACAGATAAAGTGAGTTGATAGAAGCTTTGTACAAGACAGATAAAGTGAGTTGATAGAAGCTTTGTACCAGACAGATAAAGTGAGTTGATAGAAGCTTTGTACCAGACAGATAAAGTGAGTTGATAGAAGCTTTGTACCAGACAGATAAAGTGAGTTGATAGAAGCTTTGTACAAGACAGATAAAGTGAGTTGATAGAAGCTTTGTACAAGACAGATAAAGTGAGTTGATAGAAGCTTTGTACCAGACAGATAAAGTGAGTTGATAGAAGCTTTGTACCAGACAGATAAAGTGAGTTGATAGAAGCTTTGTACCAGACAGATAAAGTGAGTTGACCTAAGATTTGTAAATACTTTCACACTTTCAAGTATTCTTTTCGGTACCTTGTTTTGTTGCCGTTGTGTGCCATGAATCCGTTTACTCAGTAAGTTTGTTTCCATTTGTCAACGCTTTCAAGAAAGACTAAAAGCGACTATCCACCATGATGATAGGGACTATCCACCGTGATACTAGGACGTATCCGACAAGATACTTAGGACGATCCACCACTGTACTAGGGACTATCCAGCATGATTCTAATGACTATCCGATATGATACCAGGGACTATTCTCCATGTTACTAGATACTATCATCAAGGGTGATAAGACTCGTCACTTTTAGTCAGGGGCGGACTGGGTATCAAAATCGGCCCGGGCATTACCATATAAACCGGCCCACAAATGTCATGTCATATATTTTCGGTGTGTGTGTGTAATTTTAAACCTCTCCGCAATATATATATATATATATATATATATATATATATATATATATATATATATATATATATATATATATATATATATATATATATATATATATATATATATATATATATATATATATATATATATATTAGTGTGTGTCTATATGTAATTAATCTTCCTTACATTCTTATCTTTCATTCTTTCAAACGTTTTTTCTACCCTAGAATACTCTCTTCCTATAATTAGTGAAAGGCAGTATACACCGCCAAGAAACAGCTAGGGAGTCTGGGGGAGCGCTGAAAGCTCCCCCAGTGGGGTCTGGGTCGAGGCCCCGGATCCAAGCATTATTTTCGTTATTTCAAGCTTTAAAAAATGCATATTTTGAGGTATCTACAGTGCAATTAGCCTGCTACTCTTCCGCTAAAAAAGTCAAAAATTAAATCTTCTATTCAGTGGAATCCAGCGACTAGTAGAAAAAGGTAAAATGCTTTAGTTTTGTATTGGAGGTGGGGGGGGGGGGGAAACCACAAAACCCCTTTTGGCTACGCTCATGAATTTTGGTGACTGTAGTTTGTTTAAGTTGGCTGCACCGGGGAAGTAAGTAAAGTTTCCCTTTCAGACAATGAGATCTGAGGCCAGTGATGGTTTAAACTCCTCCCCTCTCGGCTACGCCCATGTGTTTTATCATAGGTGTAAGCCTAATTCTATTCAAAATATATAAAGTTTGATAACTGGATGTATGCTTTCGTAGGCTTACATAATGTATTCTATTTATACATGTATGTAGTCTGAAAACTATAAACACTACAATAGCAGCCTTAATGAGTTTCAAACTTTACTTATAGATGACAGACGTTTCTTCAAAAAAATAAAAAATAATTAGGTCTTACGCATTTCACGTGTCAATCTAGTCATGCATGTTGATCTGTGACTTAAAATATGCTAAGTCATTGGTTTTCCTAGCTGACTCAGGCAACCCATTCCTTTAAAGTGGTATCACATTCCGGGCTCACATAGGTCTCACCAGCCACACGAGGAGACATAAAACCCCAGTGATAAAGCCCTCAGCCCCCTGGATGACAAAGTGGTCATAATCGAACTACGATGGAAGAACTATATATATATATATATTAATTTAAGAGAAAGCAGAACGGTTAGAGAGATACTTCTAAATGTGAAAAGCTCATGCTTTGTCCTAGTACATTCTCAAAAACGCGATTTGTATATGAATATATTATTTAAAATATAAATGATTCTAAATCTCCTTTCATTAAATATCGGATGTGACAGCGCTATATAAATCATTGTAATTATTGTAATAATTTTCATTATTAATGACTCCATACTAAGCATAAGTTTACCATTAATCATAACGGTACAAATATAGATTTCGATCTAGATATTAAGTGTAATAATAATTTAAAAAAAAAACACAAGAAAACGTGTTCGGGCCTTTGTGTCTTGCTGCTGTCACTTTTTTTAAAAGTTGTCTGCATTTAATTTTTTTTTCTTTGTCGCGACCAGACCGCCCATTTGGTAACCGGCCCACCGGGCATTTGCCCGTTTGCCCATATAGCCAGTCCGCCCCTGCTTTTAGTGTCAGGTGATTGGTTTATATTAATTAGTCATTTTAATGGATACCAGAACATATACAACTAGAAGGAAATGAGAAGGCTGACACACTCGCCAAGAGTGGGAGAACAAACTCACAATTAAACTCTGCACTCTATCCAGAAGAAATGAAAAAACTAATAGTAAATAAAATAAATGAGAAATGGACCAGCTCTCACTCGAATTACAAGAAAGATGATGCCCATTATAAGCTATCCCGACAAGACCAACGTCTAATTTTTCGACTCAGGACCGGACACAACAGAATGCGACAATATATGTACCGGAGGCTCAAAATTGGAACCAGTGAAATCTGTCCATGTGGAGTGTCACCAGAGAATGCCGAGTATGTCCTCCAAAACTGCTCTCTTTACCAAGAGGCCCGTACAAGACACTGGCTCTAAAACACCCCAATAGAAAGAAAACTATATGCAGAACTCCCTGATTTGGAAACCACTGCGCAGTTCATCTCATGTATTGGTCTAGTCATCGGAACACTCCAGCATAAAAATGAGAACGAAGAAGAAGAAGAAGAACTAGTCAGTCGCCTAACGTGGGTATGTATCAGGGTACAGCGTTGTTATGTCTCTCTCATTGAGCCAGACTTACATTGGTAGATAGATAGATAGATAGATAGATAGATAGATAGATAGATAGATAGATAGATAGATAGATAGATAGATAGATAGATAGATAGATAGACAGATAGATACACTTGTACGCTTGGTATAAACACAATTGTTTTTCAAATTACGAAACAAACGTTTACATTTGAGGTTCACCTGATTACTTTTATTGCATTGCTTTTAATAATTTCTTTGAAAGTTCGCATTTACTTTATAATAGTATCTATAGTAATATAATATTAAACTCACAATGTAATACCTGTAACATTAAACTAAAAAAATATCTCTAAATGTCAGCAAGAACCAACCTCTGCCATTCGTAATATTCCAGGAAATAAAATTCATATTTTCTCCTCGACTACAAAATTTGGCTAGCTAGGCTATTGGCTAGTTGATGTGAACGTAACATTAATTATTTCAATAGATTACAAAGTCTATGTTACTTGAAAATTCACAGGCTTAAACAATTGGACACCTTCTTTTAGAATTTTTTTTTTCATTTTTCTAGCGTTTTAGAATGCTTTATATATCCAATTTCAAATTGCGGTATATGTAGTAAAAATAACATAAAAATAACAGAACCCCTCTTGTAGATTATAGTTGTAGATTTGGTTTATTCAATGTATTTTTTTTTTAAACTCGACTCATGGAAACATTAAGAAGTATCGCTTATTTTCTGTTGTTGACCAACATTTGAATCTCCCTTTCTTAAAAATGTAAAACACTGTTTTGATATTTTGACTATTGAGCTACTACACAAGATTATATCAGTAGTATTGACGATTAAGTTATTACTTTGCTTACAAGAGCTAGTCAAAATTTTTAAAAAATGCTGCTCAGAAAAGACTGTATAGAAAGTACAAAAAAACATATATATATATGTGACCCTACCGGACCAAATAAATGTACGGACGTTTGGGCCACGAGGTCTTCATCGGTCACAAAACAAACAAAAACAGACTATTGGCACAAAGTAGCCATAAGATATCTGTCCGATGTTGTTCTCTATCGAGGCAGACAATGAGCTAAGCTGCCAGTGTCAAAGCGCGGGAAGGGGACGGTGATGTCAGACAAATATGAATGGGAAAAGGGTGGAGGGTTAACGCCCATCTGCAGATCGAAAAGAAACTTATTTACAAGTCAGGCACCCTCCTAGCTCAGGGGATCAGCAAACAACGCACTTTTATTTAAAATGAGATGGGCTTGTTTAGTGTATTTTCTATACAGTCGTTCACCCCTGCAGCACTAAATCTGTGTTTTTGAGTCAGAAAAGACTGATTATAGTTTTGTCTTTAAAAAAAAGTTAATTCTTTGGGAAAAAAATGTGTAAGCTGAGTGCAGAGTCTTTTTTAGTAATTATTTTTATCTCAGAAATGTATCACCACATAAAAATGTTACAGCGGAGTTTTGCACAAACATCCTTCTCTATAGTTTATAAATTACAGGTTATTTAAAGTTTTTATTGAAATTTATGCTGAGCAAATATTTCCGTATACATTGTTTTGTGTTTTTTTTTTACTAAACACCGGAAGTAGACAAAAGTGTAACTTTAACATCACATGAAGCAATCATAAAAAAAATATATAAAAAAAAAAACTGGTATAAAAACAAAGTATATTCTATTTTTGCCGTTTTTAAACCATGAAGCCCAAAACCCTTTTACAAAGAAGTAGATTTTAACGGTTTGTCTTATTGATATCTATTACCTATGTATAGGATTGAAATGTTGCATGTGAACAATGATTTCTAATCATTAATATTAGTGTACATCGTTTTATTGACGTTGGTTTTTCCTCAAATATTTGATGAGACACAATGTGAAAGCAGTTTTAGGTTGACTTTTAAATCTGTGTTTAGGTTTACTGAGAAATCTATGTTTATATGTTCACAATCTGTTCATATTGACTTTAAAATATGTATTCATGTTGACTTGAAATCTGTGTTCATGTTGACTTTGAAATCTGTGTTTAAATTGACTTTGAAATCTGTGTTTATATGCTCACTTAAAAATCTGTGTTGATGTTTATTTAAATGTGAAAAAAAATTAATTTAGTAGGCCCCCAATACAAAACTAGTTTAAAACATTTAAATGTAAATTACGGTTTGTAAAAAGTTCACAATAAACATTTCCTGGAACGCTAATATTCTGGAACTCAAGTGCCCTGGAAGTCAAGTGCCTTGTAACTCTAATGCTCTGGAACTCTAGAGCTCTGAAACTTGGATAGGGGCCTACTTGAAAAGTCTGAATATATTACACTGGAACTCTATAGCCCTGGAACTTAGATACTTGAAAAGTCTGAATATATCACCCTGGAACTCTAGAGCCCTGAAGCTTAGAAAAGACTGAATATATTACCCTGGAACTCTAGAGCCCTGAAACTTAGATACTTGAAAAGTCTGAATTTATTACCCTGGAACTCTAATGCTAAGACTATACATCAGATGCAAATGCCATTAACTTTTTAATTTCACCAGCACGAGAGGATGCCGGAGAGGTGCAGTTGTACTTTAATGCCCATTAACTCCTTCAGAAAGGAAGAGTGATACTTCTTATCCCAAACCTCTAAACCTTTTAACCTTTGACCTGGCAGCTATCCATATCCACATTGTTCGATTGTGTGACAAATCGCGTATGCCATGAAAGTTGATCACACCCTTTTGTCATTTGACTGTACCAACAATGGAGCAATAACGACTTTTAAATAAACCCATGAAATAATAAGTTTAAATAATAAAAAAAATATATTCAAAGTTAGTTATTAAGAAATCTAGCCCAGACTCTTATAATATATATACGTCTATATTTTAACAGTACGTACATTTTTTTAAAATTATAAATAATACACTAATATTCAATGCAATTAAAACTTGATAATATAACACAATGTTTAGATGGAGATGGCAATATCGAAAGTTAAATAAACGAGACCCACATGCCATATATATGCCCTCTAAAATACGTAGGTAACGTATGTATATATCAATTTTTGTTTTCATGTTACATTTAATCCAGAGGACTAAATCTAGAAGTTTTACAGTAACATTCTAAGAATTCCAGTCTCTACCTCTCATTTTTATTTCGTCAGGCTGTGTGTAAGACTGTATGAATGTGGGTGCGTGAGAATACATTAATTAGTAAACAGTTGTTGTTTTTTTTTGGCAATATTTTTTTCTACAGTTTACTTATAATCCTAATTAATCAAAACAATATGTCATACTTTTAAATTATGTTAATCTGTGTAATCACGAGAACAGCGCCCTCTTCTACTTCCCACGAGCTATCCCAGAAACGATACAAAATACCTCCCGCCGCAAATATCCTTATATAGGTTTCTGTACAGAACAAAATCTTGTTTTTACCCTAATGCACTCGCTAGGATATTCTGAACAAGATATAGAGAAATTTACATTGATTAAACCCATTCACGCTGTCTCAAGTAATAGTTTGTTAATGACTATATAACGTTTGTCTATTGTGTTAGCCAGTTCATAGTCACTTACCTAGCGTCAGTAACCACCTTAAGATAGAACCTCAGCAGCTAGAGCTCCGGAAATTTCGGGTGAGTGTGTCCCGCACAGCCCAACACGGGTTCCTCGAAATGAACTATCAGCTTTACCTGGGGGTGTAATGTGTGCCTGTGAATGTGCCCGCGCGCGTGTGTGTGTGTGTCAATGAGCGTATGAGTATGTGAATGGGTGGAAGCGCAATGCCAGCAGAGTCAGCACACTGTCCGTTATTTCCTACAAACTTTGTGGTTGTCTCCTGTTCTATGTAGATACACACATATCATGATATTTATCACATTACAAAACATTACATTGCCACAATCGATGTCAGTGTGCAGTCATTATTGTGGCTATAAATGTGAAGCCGTTAATAAGTCATCAATTAGTGATGAACAGAGCAGAGGTTCTCATCCCTTTACAAGTATCATTTAATAGACTTTTCATCGTTCTTAACGTCTGATTCTCGCTAACGATAAACTAAAGTGTCAGAATGTTAAAGTTAAAACCCGAGGTATGTGGCAGAATTTAGAGCCTTAATAAATACTAATTTTTGGGATGTGTGGCTAAGGAGCTACCTAAAAAGGAGGTGGAGAAGGGAGGGCTGGAGTTCAAATCCTGATGTACTTGGGTTGTGTTTGCTTAGCACCCAAAGGCAGCACTCCTCCACCACATGACCACAATTGAGATTGGGCCAGAGTACACTAAGCGTGCTGGGGCGTGACCTCCGGCTGGGGCATGATAGACTCGCTATACAAGAGCAATGTGAAAAACATAATTGCAGATTAAATTACTTATTGATTACTTAATCACGTGGCGTTCTTAAAAATATATAATTTATTTTAAAAATCTGCTTCCCTTAGGACCTCACTGTTCGAAAGCCACTTGGTGATTGTTCCATATGATTTGATTTGATTTGATTTTGATTTTCGGCACAATTTAGGCCATGTCGTGCCTGCAGTCCCTCAAGGGCCACTCTCCCTCCACACAACAAGGGCCAAATTCCATACAGTCAAATCATTAAAATCAAGGTCTATTCACAGTTAAAATAGTAGAGGTAGTAAAAATTTAATAATTTGGTAAAAATCTAATGTAAATAGTACATGTTTACAAATTCATAAATCAGATCTTCGTAGACAACCCCACTTCCCGGATAAAGCCCAGTACCTTCCCAGGGTCGACATTATTGAATAGTGTTTTTAAATTAGTGGCTCTAAAATATTTCTCCCTGACATCCTGGTATCTGGGGCAGTCGATGAGGATATGTGTTCCATATGACTATGAACTCTGACTGACCAGGTTGGAAAGATTCATGTTCCCGTGTAATCAAAACCTTGTTCGCTAAACTAATCGCTCGCTGAATCGATGTACCTTATGTCGTTCGACATATATCCTATGCAATCGTTAGACTAGCATAGCACAAATTAAGACGTAAGGCTGCCGTCGCTAGTTTCAGCTCTTTGGTCGGAGGGGTCACTACACAGTTCTGTAGATGATAGTGACCAAACAAAATCGATAATCCCCAAAATGATCAACTCCCTTCGTTCTTTCTATCTCGCCTGCTGCGCCCTACTTCCGCACAAATCACAGATATTGATCAAATACTTTCATTGCATATCATCTTGTGTCACAACATTAAAGAGATATATTGGAGTACTTATTACACTACTGTGGGAAACTCAACAGAACTACGCTTGTTTAATTCACTTCTTGATATTTTGCATAGTTTGAACATTTCTTAAATAAGAACACCGAGTCTACATAATTTGTATAAATAAGTACAGTTTGTTTAGTTAACAAAAATTAATTCATAGTCAGTGGCGCAGCTAGGAGGAGGGGTCCAAATTCTAAAATCCCCCACCCCGGGCCCCCACTTGAGAGGGTCTCCAAACGACTGTCCAAATTTTTTTCCCATTAAATATTAAATCTTTAGCCACTGCCATGTAATCTTGCTATTCATCTTGTTGTATAAGATTGTGGCTCTCTTGTATGTATACCACACACATCTACTCTTCCCTTGGGGGCTACTCTCGGGTGGAAAAACTTAATTATATATTATTAGGTTATATATGTATTAAGTACATTAACTCTTGTCTTGATGTCGAATGTCAAAATGTAGGGGCTCCTAAAGAGGTCAAGACCCCCCCCCCATCCCAAAATCCCTATCTACGCCACTGTTCATAGTTCTTAAGAAGTAAAGATGCCCATTGAGGACTTGCGATCTATGAGAGCAGATGATGCAAAGCTCGACTGCTTCTTTAGCCGAAAGTTAAAGAGGGTATCATGTGGCCAGCACAACGACGAACGGCCTTTACTTCCTTACCATAAGTCAGTTACCATTTAGAGTTGGTTGGACTCAGTAATGTCCTAATATCTCAAGCTACCTATCACTGGACCACCACACTCATATATTTCTTTCCTATCACTCTCAGTTTCTAACTCTCAGTTCCTAACTGTTAGTTCCTAACTCTCAGTTCCTAACTTTCAGTTCCGAACTATCAGTTCCGAACTATCAGTTCCGAACTATCAGTTCCGAACTCTCAGTTCCGAACTATCAGTTCCGAACTCTCAATTCATTACTCTAGGAACAATGTGCTGAATCCATACGTTGAATCTTATGTAGATTGGCCCACACTGAAGTACTTTAAAATAATATCAACACTAAGTCTAACAAAAAACATTTTGTGGAGCGAAGAGAAATCTTCAAAATATCTTTGAAATTCGAAGTATCCAAGGATTCGTTCACCTTATAAGGCTTATTATATTATGCTTACTACACTTTATTTAAAAGTATTACATTAACACTAAGTGTAGGCCTATTATGTTCATTGTGTAACACTTCCTTCGCAGCCAGAGTTTTAAAAACTATGGTGCAATTAAATGTCAACAAAATATATGCCCCCCTGGGAAAAAAATCTTTTAGGACCTCGTATGAACGCCCGTCAATCAAGCTGGCCATACAGCCATACAACCGCGGGAGTTTTTGATTTAAGTAAAGTTTCCCTTTCAGATCTATGGGGCAGATGATATTAATGTCATCTGTTTCTTTGGCCAACGGTTAAAGAGCAGGGTGTCATGTGGCCAGTACAACGACCAACCACCTTTACTTTCCCCGACTAAAGTCAGGATTCCATTAGAGTTGGGTGGACCCAGGGGCGTCCCAAAAATCCCGAAATTCAAAATTCCAGTCTTCACCGAGATTCGGAAGCGAAACGCTTAAGACGTGACTACCACTTTTGGATTTAAGGCCAAGATAAAATGTACTTTCTTGACAGAGCCGGCATAACAAATTGCGGGGTCCACTTTAATCGATGCTTGCTTTAATCGAAGCTTCTACTTTTTTAAATAACAACTATTTCTATTAATTAGATCATTATATTAACTGTGAGACACTTAGTAAGTATTCGTAGTTTGTATAGAGACGCACCATAGTTGACGGACTTTAAACGCGACTTAGTGACGTCATGATTTAGTTTGGCTAGAGATTATTTATGTAAATAAAGTCAGTTGGTGTTAGAATTCTTAGGGATCAAGTGTTTTACAGACAGAGACTTGACGGTGGCCTTTACAGTATTAAATCATCATCTGTGTTATACAATGGTTTGGATTTAGTTTCTTTATCTTGTTAACTTGTGTAAGTCCTATTCTTGTCAGTTGCATTGAATACACCCGCACAAGAAAACGCAAGACATCTCCAGAGTAATCTGTCGAAGTCAGACAGGCATCAATGAACCTCATTCACCAATCGTAAACAAACAACATTGAGTCACGTGCTTCTTTATCTTTTCTATACAAATTACGATCTAATTTTAATCAACAATGGTTCTCACGTGACTTTTTTTTTCGTTGTTTTATCAATATTATCAGATGATCGTGCGTTTTAGTGGTTGTGGCCCATTCTACAAAGGCAATGGGCGCCAGTGGCTTACTGAAAGTAACGTTAGTAGTTCGATACACTAACTATGTTAACCCTTTAAGACCTACATTTTTAAAAGCCTGTGAGAAGAGCCATGACTGACAGTGATATGCTAAATGTATAGAGCGGGGACCCTTGTGCCCTAGAAACACGGAGGCCAATGACTACACTCATGGTAGAAGTAAAACAATGTATGCCTAAGCTTTGCTTCATTCTCTTCCAGTCTACCTACGTTTATAAATTCGAATTCGCCTACGATAGAAGACTGCGTGTATAACCATAAAAAAAGAAAAACTTGGAAATACATGGTGTTCTAACTAAGCCTACATGCACTGATACTAAAGAGCAGTGTAGTCCTAAAATAATTACTCAATCATATACAAACACACTCTGGTGACATTTAGTGAACCATTAGCTGTGTCGAGTGTTGTATTTAAATGTAATAATTGCATCCTATTTAGGAATCCACGTTGTGGCTTTAGAGCAGCTCCAGAAATGACATCGTGAAATGTTCACGATGTAGTTGTCTGTAGTATTAGTCTTTGGGATGAATGTACACGCAGAAGCGTAACGAGAGGGGGGCAAAATAGCCAAAATTTTTGTAGATATTTTAGTTAGGTAATAAACTGTCTTTGTAACCATGTATTTTTTAGCTGCAAACCCCACTGGAGGGGTGTTTTAAACACAAATCCCTTCTTGGCTACGCTCATAGAATCTGGTGACTGATGAATGGATAGTCTTATATTGAAGAGGGGGTTTATCGTTAATTTCGGAGGGGGGTTAAAATCAAAATCTTCCTTAGCTATGCTCTTGGAATATGGGGATTGTCGTTTGCATTAATTTTTTGTTTTGTTTTTTACAATAGAGGAATTTAACTGCAAAAACCCCTTCACTGCGCTGGGGCAAGTAATGGTTTGGTATTAAAATAAACAAAATCAAAGCAAACAAGGTTACAAAGACAGTTTGTGTGGACACAAACTCAAAATCGGCCCCCGAAGTGGTCCAACCAGGCAGGAAAAAGGACAGGTTTCAATATTTTCTGAAGAATATCGGTATTAAATTCTATCAGAAATGGTCTACACAGGCAGGTAAAAAGGCAGGTCTCAATATTTTCATAAAAATATCAATATGAAATTCTATCAAAGGCTAATGACAGAGAAGAATGGAGAAAGAAGGTTGACAGATCCTGTGTGGTGCCCCAAAGGTTCAGCAGACCAAGGGATATGTGAAAGTGAAGTTAGATGTGAACCTGGCCTAACTGATGTCTTATTATGAGTATCTAATTGATCTAATTGTTTTGTAAAGGATCAATCTCTTGTTCAAAGCCTCAAGAAAAAAACTTTTCCGTTAAAAAAAAATTCCTTTAGTTTTGTGATCTATGGTGTCACAATAGCTCCGCAGGTCACTCGATAATATGAAAAATTACTTAATAATTGTTGTTTTAAATTATGCCCAACTTATGTGTAAAGTAAATAGATTTTTTCTCTTTAACAAAAAAAAAGTCAACACTTTTTTGTAATTGTAGTATTTAGTCTGACAGAACTTACAGAACTTATATTTAATTGTAAAAAATATTTTTTGATCAAAAATCTAAAACCATTTGCATAAATGTGTTTAAAAAAATGGTAGTCATCTCCCTTACTAAAAAAAAAAGCCTCCCGTGTTTGTTACTATTAATAGTGAATAGTTGTAAAGATGGTGTATTTTTATGAAAAAACTGCTTGCATACAGTTGCGAAGCAAGGTACCCGTGGGCCCGGGTTCAAGAACATCTTGGTGGGCTCCCCTCCAGCCGATACGACAAATCAAGTGTGTGACAAAAATGAGTAATCTAAATGTAAAGACATTCCAATGTAAAGATCGTAACTTTAAAAAAAAAAAGTAATTAGAATGGATGGTTTTAAGGTCATACGATATGAATGTGTGGGCATTGCATCGTATTGGTTTCAAAATTAACCACCGCTTGAATTCGCTGTCAGAATAATTGAAATCGGCACTCGCTGAACCTCCAAGAAAACATTTAACATTTATATTTCATTTGTCCTTGACAAAAATTGTTTAGTATGGGGATCGAAGCCAGGGCTTGCGTGTCAACAACCAGTCATTCTAATATGTGCAGCATTTTTTTTTTTATATACCTAGATCTGCATTAGTCTAACATATTGGTTCTAGAATCTTCTATTTATATAATTCTCTTCTTCGCTCAACTGTTGGGACGAGCAAGAAGTAAAGGAAAAATCGCTCTCTTATTTCTGCGGATAGTAACCCCACGAAAAAACAAGAGGGGGGGGGGGGAGAACAAGTATTCACAAAATAGCAGGGCCGGACCGTTGTAACCAAGAAAGATCACTCTTTTTTTATTTCTACCTCACGTACAAAAGAGAGGGGGGAGGGGGAGGAATATCTACTCTGAAGGAACTATCGAGGCGACAGAGAGCACGGCTAAGGAAAAAAAGAGGGGGGGTGGGGTGGGAAGAACAAGTATTTTTTGCACCCTTCGCTACGGATGGCTGCATGGTTGTGCGGTTTGCGCGCTGGACTGTCCCATCTCCCTTCGTCCTGCGGGAGGTTTGGACTAGGAAGTAAACTATCGTCAACTCTGAAGGAACATCCGAAACATCTAAAACAAGATTCTACAAGCAAACATTTTACAAACACCAAATAGCAGCGCCGGACTTAACCATTGCGAATAGGTTGCAGTGGCCTAAGGCCGGCCCTGCAAAATAGCGGCGTATGCTACGCCGCCGGTCGACTAGTCTATTTTATTTCTTTTCTGTTCTGAAACAGATATTGTTAAATCTGAGTTAGTGCTTTTGGAGATTTGGAGGTTATGGCCTCATGACCAATCTACCCGCTGTCTCGCGCCCCCAGAACCCCTCCCCACCTCCGAGGTGGTGTCGGTGATAACGTTTAGGAGCTTAGCGTGTAGGACAAAAGGTTGGTTGCCACCTAAAGCTAACGAGCTACTCCTGCCCGAGGGAGAAGGAAAACTCAGAATTCAAACCTCTGCTGCCTCCAGATAAATATGATTTTTAGATCAAGGCATATTTGATATGAAATACAGTCCGTGCTTTTTTTTTCCTCGGCGCTATTTTAAAGACACCATTTTGTCAGTGCTACTTTGTTGTACGAAATTTTGGCATGTAACCCAATTTCAGTTATGTATTCTTCTTAAAACAAGATTAATTCTAGGCAGTTCTATTTATTATTTAAATCTATCTTTGTTCGTCCATCCTCGGTATAAGCATGAAAAGAACACGTAATGTTGCTGTCTCTTTGTTTAAAGTCTAAAACTATAAAATCATATAGGTCATGTTCACGTCGGATCTATTCAGACAAGGGTTAGCAGGCAGGACCTTTTGCTTTGATTGTAAACTATCGCAGCAGTGCCGGATTTAAGGGAGGGCAGAATAGAGACACTTTGAGTAGAAGACTCGACGACCATTTTCCCTGTAAATAAACGTTTTAACGATTTACTAAAGCGATATCCAGTTGTTTCAAGAGCGTCTGAAAAGCTGTGCGGACTCGCATGTGTGTTATAACTCTTGATTGGAGCATTACAATGTATCCAATGTGATAGCAGTCAGGGTGAAAGCACAAACAGTAGAGACTGAATTAGACATAGCTTAAAGAGCTATAAAGACAGGCTCGAGCTTAATGGGAGATGGCATAAACACGGCTTGGTGTTAGACCGAATTGATGTTGGAAATCAAGTGCCAGTGCTTCTTGTGACTGAATTAGAGACATTATTGTAAGTGCACATTCTTAAAAGCACGGGATAAAACGATATAATTAATTAATATCTAGTCGTTTTAAGACACACTAGGAAGTAATATGTAAGCATGTAGTTTAAATATTGGACTATTAGTGTTAAGTTACATTTTAATTTAGGTGATGGCCAGAGACTGTAGATGTATACAACGTAACCACTGCCTGCTACACAAGTAAATAAAAGAACATCTTGATGGGCCCCCCCTCCAGCCAATAAGACAAATTTAGTGTGTGACAAAAAATGAGTACACTAAATGTAAAGACATTTCAATGTAAAGATCGTACCTTTTTCTTAAAAAAGTAATTATGTCATAACGTTTGATTCAGTTAGGACTGCATAGAAGTAATAGTGTCTTAAAAGTCAATGTTTGTACAACTTCTTAACAGAGTTCAATGACTTTAAAGTGTTTCAAATGAACAAACAAATGTTTATCCCAAGTTCTAATGTGGGCCCCAACTGGCTTTGAGCCATGGGCCCAAGCGTAATGAGCTCCTTCGCGCCATGGTTGTTACGCTACAGCTGTGGGCCCCTATTGCTTGTGGGCCCGGGTTCATTGAACCCCTTCGTGCCATGGATGCTACGCCACTGCTTGCATAATTGATTTTAAAAAATTAGATTTTTCGCTTTCAGAAAAGAAAAAAGTAGCCATTGCATCAAAACTTTGATCTAAATATCATGATGTCCTATTTTCATTTTCTCTTCTAGTTTCCGACATCTAAACGGGACGGACGAACAGACGGGCCACATAAAACTAATAGCGTCTTTTTCCCTTTCGGGGGCAGGTAAAAAAAGAAAATTACACACTCAAAAATGAGCGTAGCCAATCCAAAGGGGGTCTTGAGTTTAAACCCCCCTCCTCCAGAGGGTTTCTTGAAAGTTTAAAACCCCTCCAGATGTTTTTGAGTTAAAATTCCCCTTACAGAGAGTTTTGAGATTGAAAACCGCTCTCTCCAATATTATTCTAAATTTAAATTGTAATTTAAAAACAAAACAAAACTTTAAAACCCTTAACACTTGATGTTGACGATAAAAATTCCCTTTTCGATATAAAATATAAAGCAAACTACAGTCACCTAATTCCAAGAGTATGGAGGTACTCAGAGCAGGTGGGAAGAGGCTTCAGACATTTTTTGTGGAAGCAGCTCGCCGAACAAGGCTCCGAACGGCGCGGGTGGATCTAAATAAGTAACAATAGCAGATTAGGTTTTTGAAATAAAACTTTTTAATAGCAGGATAATGCACTGTAGATACCTCAGAATATGCATTTTGTTGGCTTTCAATACCGGAAATAGCGCTTGGTGGCGGGGCTCCGCACCGAACACCGCTGGGAAGCTCACTGCGCTTCCCCAGATCCCATTGCTGGCAAGGGCGGGGAGTCTAAAATTGTTCCACTAACTTCAGGAAAAACCTACAATAAATGTCTTTCGAATGAATGAAGGGTTAGAATGTAATAAAGATTAATTAAGTACACACACACACACACACATATATATATATATATACATGGGCGTATCGTGACACAGTTGTAGGCCCACGAGTAGCCATGGTTTCAAACACATAGTCTTTCACAGCCTCATCTGTAAGGTTTTCCCATGAAGCACCCTTGTAATGTTCCATAAGCAAATGTTCATCCACCACTGCATCAGGTTCCGCTCGAATTAATTCCCCATCGTAAAAGTCACTCTCAATGATATAGGCAGAAGTGACGCAGAAGTACAAATGTCTTTTAAGTTCAGACCTTGTTTCTGGGTTTCTTGACTTGGGCACTGTTCCCACAGAGTGCCGCATATACAGTTCTTGTCAACCGACTGGATGCAGTTGCCAAGATTCATGTTCTCTCTTATTCCGCAGACAAAGTCAAATTCGTTGTTTCTGTCTTGGCCTTTGTTGGGGCCAGTATTCACAATTTCATACGACGACATCCAAAGCAACGAATTAGAAACGGTTATCAGGCTTTCGTGGTTTGAGTTCTCATCAAAGGTACTGACAGATTAACAGAGGTCTTTAAGGTCCACAGCAGCAAGCTTGGTCGCAGACCCAACGTTGTTTTGATCTGTCCGGCTCACTGAGGTACTCGTTGCAGATACATTAGGAATAAAAGCTTCAGGCACATAACAGACCTTTCTAGTTTCTTCATTTGTTTCTTTCCTTTGGATTTGGTATATCCCATTGAGGTCGTCGCAGCAATCGTTGACACGTTTCTCATCTTTAAAGCCACACCCGTAAGACTTGCCCACAACACAGTCACAGACGGCACTACAATCCCCAGGGCCTCCATCACCACTGTTTGTGCAGCCACAGGTAGCTGCTCCTTCATTAACGAGTCTATTCCTTCTTTCGCTTGTGACACCATTTGATCACTTTGGTCTATTTGGCCTTCCTTTTTCAACAGAATCTCATCCACCTTGTTTCTCATCATGTTCACCTTCATTTTCATTTCTTCACGCATCGAGTCATATATGTCATTTAGCGAGTCTTTCATAGTTTTCAGAAGCTGTTGACATCCTTCTCAGTGTAGTCGGTTATGTATATATCAGTGGCGTAGCTAGGGTATATGATGCCTAGTGCGGCAGCTCCGGAAGATATATAGTGGCGGGGGGGGGGGGGGGGAAATCCCCCCACCTACCCACACCGAAAAAAAATCCTGGCTACGGCCATGCTATATATAATCTAGAATTCTAGATGTATTTTATACTATATACTGTAAGTCTATCACATTATTAATCATTAACTAAGTTCAACCTTGGATTTCAACATCAATTTAGGCCTCAACTCAAGAAAACAATAATAAACTGGAACAAACACAAAATAGAGCAGTGAGATTCATAACAAACGAATATTTACATTTGACTAGAGTAACACCTTTTAGTAAAATCACTAAATTTAGAAAGCCTTCAGGACAGAAGACTCAATAGTAAAGTAGCAATTATACATAAAACACTGATCTTCAAATACAAAATAAAATAAAATACTCTGAAAGACACAAAGATAAAGGCACATTCCTCGTCCAATATGCTAGAACAAATTTGTACAAATACTCCTCCTTCCTTAATGCTATTAGAGCCACTAGCGGATCCAGAACTTTTGAGTGGGGGGGGGGGGGCAATTTTTTTCCAAACCCTTACCCTAACGCCCAGTAAACCCTAACCCTAAGCATAAACGTGCCTACAGCACACACACACATATGAGAATAAACAAGGTTACAAAAGACAGTTTGTGTGGATACCCAAACTCAAAATCGGCCCTCGAAGTGGTCCACCCAGGCAGGCTTCAATAATTTCAGAAAGAGCGTCCGAATGAAATTATATCAAAGACAAATGAAAGATAAGAATGGAGAAAGAAGGTTAACAGATCTTGTGTAGTGCCCCAATGGTCCAGCAGATCAAAGGATAGATGTGAACCTGGCCTAACTAGTTCCCCTTATAGACCTTGTGGTCTATAGGGCAGATGATGTAAAGTTCATCTGTTTTTTGTGGCCTACGGTTAACGAGGGTGTCATGTAGCCAGCACAATGACGAACCGCCTTTACTTTTCCCCAACTAATGTCAGTTACCCACTAGAGCTGAGTGGACTCAGAGGCACCCAAAGATTCTAAAGTTGAAAATCCCAGTCTTTACCTGGATTCGAACCCGGGACCCCCGGTTCGGAAGCTAAGCGCTTTACCGATCAGCCACCGCCTGGCCTAACTCAGGGGTCGGCAACCTGCGGATCGCGAGCCACAGGCGGCTCTTCAGATGCTAAGCTGCGGCTCTTTAGTTTCATACTCAAGTATTAATTGTTTTATCGAAAAAAAAATTGAATCGATTAACTAAAATTAGACACCGATTCAATCTCTCAGCCACTTGTACTCTTTCACCGCACACCCCTCCCCATGTTTTCAAATCTAACATATTTGCAGGTGGAAGAACTCAACTTTTTTCTGCCTTATCAATGATATAGATATGTCTTGAGACATAAAAGACACGGCACAAGTTGGCTTTCTGTCAGGTATATGCTTTTCCAAGGATTGCTACCGCTCTCGTGACAAACTAGGGAGAATATTTAGCGAATGCCGTGCAAAAATGCCTTAAAGACAATAAGATCGATTTAAATAAACTCGTTTCAATAGCAACTAATGGAGCCAGAAGCAGGAAAGGAAAAAATAAAAGAGAACCTGCGAGTCTCCACGTATGTCTTACGTTTCACTGCCTACTGCAGCAAGAAGTGCTGGTCACTCTACCATCGTCAGTTTAAAGAATTCTTAAACGAAATGGAGACTCAGTTTTCCGACCTTCTTCTTCCCAATAAAGTGTGATGGCTTTCTACAGGTATGGTGTTGAAACTTCCAGCTTTGTGCTTGAATGAAATAAATACTTTCCTAAATGACGATGGTATTTTTAACCCTGAATTAGATAACGACAAATGGTTGCTAAAATGTTACTTTATGATGGATATATCAGGAAAAGTAAATGAGATGAATCTAAAACTACAAGAAAATGAAAACCCAGCCGATGTTTTGATAGAAGATAAGAGCGGTGGCTGAGCAGTAAAGAGCTTGGATTCCGAACCGGGGTCCCAAGTTAGAATCGTGGCGAAGACTGGGATTTTTAATCTCTGGATATTTTTTAGCGCTTCTAAATCCACCCAGCTTTAAAATAATTACCTGACATTAGTTGGGGAAAGTAAATGTGGTTGGTCGTTGTGCTGACACCCTCGTTAACTGTTGTTCACAGAAAGAGATGACCTCTACATCATCTGCCCTAAAGATCGCAAGGTCTAAAAGGGGAACTTTACTTTACTTAATCAGAGTGATAAATGACGTCATTTTCACTTTCTAAAGCAATATCGCGATAAAAACCAGTGCAACTGTTGACAGGAATTACTTCATCATAGTTATTTTAAAACATTACAGATGAATTTGCTGAGAGATTTGAGCATTTCAAACCCATCAAAACCGTTCTAGCATTCATAGTAAATCCCCTCAACACAAATAGTAACGAAATCCATATTGAGCCATTTGGAAGTGATACGGCACTTTAAAAAGTAAAGCTTTCTGGAGTGGGTAATTTACAGATTAGAAAAGCAAGTTGGAAGAGTTGGAGGTCCAGAAATGTATGCACGTAACGCAATAAAAATGGACAACTTTCAAAGAAATGCCTTCGAGATGAGGCACTTATATGGAATTGTCTTCCAGATTGCTACAGTGAAGAGAAAAGGTTGGCAATTGGAGTACTAACTATATTCGGAAAGACACATTTATGCTATCAAGTGTTCCCTTGCAGGAATAGCAAACTAACGATTGAAAATTTAGAGTCGTGTGTGAAACTAAAAACAAGTTATGAGCCAAATGTATCCAAACTTTTTAAAACCAAAGCATTGGCTCCCATTGAATTTGTTTGCTCAATTGTTTTGCTATTGAAGTACAAGTTAGTGTTGTATTTAAATGTTTAATTCTTTTAATTTATTTACACTCTTAATAAGTAATTATGTTATCATCTAATTTGTTGTGAACAAATATTAGTAGTATATAAATAAGTAGATTTTTTCCCCTTGTGAATAAATAAATTTGTTTTTATTCATCAAAAAACTTTTTTTATGCGAGTACTATTTATAGTTTGCAAGAAAAAACTTTGTGGCTATTTCAAAACTTTGAAATTTAGTCAATTGTAATTTTTGGCTCTTCCGACACCTGGCCTAACTGATGTCTTATAATCGATCTAATTGTTTTGAAAAGGCTCAATCTCTTAATCGAATCCTTAAAAAAGATACAAGATATAATATTGTCTCTTGTAATTAGCACTTGTTTAGGAAAATTTTGTTTAGAAGATTTCTTTACCTTTTAAATTAGGTGTAACTTATAATGCATACTAATTAGCTTTTTCTCTTTAAAAAACTGCTTGCATAACTGATTTTAAAAATTAGAGTTTTCGCTTTCAGAAAAAAAAAGTAGCCGTTGCATCAGAACTTTGAATGGTCTAAAACACTGTGATGTCGGATTTTCAATATCATTTCTAGTTTACGAGATCTAAACGGTACGACGGACAGACATTTCACACAAAACTAATAGCGTCTTTTCCCCTTTCGGGGGCCGCTAAAAAAAGCAGCATTTCTCCACCTTCAGTGAAAAACAAAACAACTAGGGCAGCGCTATATGGTTCCCTTGTGGGGTTCGGGGCAAAGCCCCGACGACAAAAGCGTTTTCTTGCTTTTTTCACTGCAGAAACGCATTCTCCTGACAAGTACAGCTCATTATTCATCAATGGAGTTCAGGGAGAAGCCCCGACGCCAAAAGTGTTTTCTTTCATTCTTCACTGCAGAAACGCATTCTCCTGACCTAAAGCTCATTATTCATACTATTAAAAAAGGACATTTTGAATAATGTTGTACTTGAAAAATATTCTAATATGAATTTATAGGCCCTTTATACATTGCAAATAAAACCGATTTGTTCCTTGAGAAGATAAGATACCCCACACATTTATATTCTGGCTTTGTAGATAGCCGCCGAAAAAAAAAATTCGATAAATAGTATTAAATAAAATTGAAGTATAAATTGTGAGTTATAGTCCCAAATTTATTTTACTAGAAAAATATCAGATTGAGTAAAGTTTGGGAAAAGGCGACTATGAAAAGATTATTTGGGTTTAGAACTCATCTTAATGATGACTCTTATACTTTAATAATTTCTGCTAAAGATTGCATTTGGCATTAAACAATAGGGGTGGGGTGACTCGATATAAGAATTTAATTTATAGTATATATAAATTATATTAGTGACAGATTTTTTAAATGTTGTAATTTCTTAACTATAATGCAAAAAGAAAAAGTATTGATTTGTCTGATGGGGGAAATGCGAGTGCATGTATCGTCCCTCCCACCTGGTACAACCCTTTTTCATTTAAATGTGCTAATAATTCAATTTCAGACTAGAGTGTGGTACGACATAATATACAATGAGTCACATATCAATACGTAGTTTATATTATATAGATATTCAACTAATTTTGTTCACAAACTATGATTTCTCCATAAAAACGGACCGCCCCCCCCCCCCCCACTCAAAGGGTTATGGTGGGAAGGGCAATAGAGGTATTGATACCATCGCCCCCTCCCGACACCACCAAATCGGCCAACATACTAGAGGGGGGGGGCGAAATAATCTAAAAATAGGTTGAAATATAAACAATTAGTATATATTATTAACATAAGTAATAAATTTCGTATACAAATTTTGTGAATTCTATACTAAAATTCGTCCGATCGCCCCTACCGCCCCCCCCCCCCCCTTGGATCCGCCAGTGATTAGAGCATGGAATGGGTTGCCTGAGCCGCCATGAAAACCAGTGACTTGTATTTTATAAGATAAGATATACTGCGATGATTTAATAAAAGTTGATTTATACAGTTATATACAGATCTAAATATCTAGATCTATTATAGATCTCTAAAGACCGGCGGTCTATCATTAGATAAAGATCTATCTAGACTAGTAAAGAAGTATGCATGGTGTAGATCTAGTAATCAAATGGATCAAACTATGAGAGTAGTTTCCCTTGGAAGTCACGTGAGAAAGCATAAATAAAAAAAAAGTGCAGCCATGATGGTGGGTGGACTCTAGGAAATACAATTTAATTGGTTTTTTTTTTTTGGTTTGTTTTATTTTCAAACAGTGCTTGATAACAATTAATTAAATGATTTATGTTATTTACAGGATGGAATCGATGACAGCCCTGACCTCCTGGCAGAGGAGCAGGATAATAAGGTAGGATGAGTCCTCTGTTTCAGTGTGAGTTTGACACTGGCTGACTGAGTCTGAGTTGACTGAGACGTCTGAGTTGACTGAGACGTCTGAGTTGACTGAGACGTATGAGTTGACTGAGACGTATGAGTTAGTGTTATTCTTATCTATTAATAAGTTATTTATTAAATTAAGTTTAAAGTTATAGATTCATCTTGTCTCACTGAAACATAGCTAAATGAAATTATTCCTGACGCATCGGTAGACTTGGGTGCATTTCTTTTGTACAGATCAGACAGAACAACAGATAGTCTAGTGCAATCAGCAATGCCATCAATAGGTGGCAAAACAAGAGTGACAAGAGGAGGAGGACTGGCCATTTATGTCAATAAACATTATTGTTGTGTCAACAATATTTCAATCAAAACTAAAGTGTGTACGACCGATATTGAACTACTAGATATATGTAACAATCTCAGGCTATACTACCTGCCAAGAGAGTTTACACAATTTTATGTCATACTTGAGCATATGCCACCCACAGCCAACACAGAGAAAGCAGCAAAACATATACTAGACATTGTACATATAATTGGGACAAAACGTTCTGATGCTGCCTAACTAGTTATGGGAGATTTCAATCATTAGCTCAACACTTGCCAACATATACTCAATATTATGTTAATTGTCCCAAAAGGCACGATAAAACCTTGGACGTGTTATAGCAACATAAAAATGGCCTACACATCTCAATCGTTATTTCCCCTTGGAGAGTTGGACCACACAAAGATCCATCTTACACCCATGTACTAACCAGTTTTAAAAACAACAAAACCTGAAGTGCAGTCCATCCAGTGCGTCATCCAGTCATGGTCTGACGACGCTGGTTTACAGCTACAAAGTTGTCTGGAGCAAACAGATTGGGAAATGTTTGTAGACAACTGCCCAGACAGATGAACTTACCGCAACTGTTAATTTGTACATCCAGTTACTGTGAAAACATGATTGTACCAAAAAAGAAAATTAAAACATTCAGTAATAATAGACCCTGTATGACCAACATTAAAAATTAACATTCTGTCATCATTGAGAAGTACATAGAAGTCTATTTATAAAGCACTGGTTATGAGTGTGTATGTGTTTTTCGTGTGTGAATCTTGTTCGTATGTGCATCTATATTGTTATACAGTAGTTATGCTGAGGTTGTCAATTGTAGTCAAACCGAATTTCCATTTGATTGGATCAATAAAAGTTATCTTATCTCTATCTTTATTTTGATGGTTATTACAGAAATACAGTGTGGTTTGTGGTAGCACGATGTGCAAGCCATTTTTTTAACTTTTTCTTTACTATTATTTAGATCTAGAATATCTCCCTAGTTTTGTATTATTACTACTATGACGAGCATGATCATATATATTGTTGTAACTCTTGGGTAGGCACTCAACGTAAAGGCAGGCAACTCAACACAGTTTAACAGGAAATAAAGACAGGTGTTTATTCACTAGGACAAACACATAACATCCTTCAGCTTCCTCAGAGTCTTGCTACTAATTTACCAGTCCTTTAGACAGCAACCCGAATGTGGACCAACGACAGCCTTCCCCGCATCGTTCCACAACCTTCAGGCAGCACAAAAGCTGGCTTCTTAGTTTCCAAACATTCAGACTCTTCACAATCCCTGATGCACTGATATTCTCTCTTAGTGTCTTCCTGTATACGTTCAACAGTGTGCTAGTGCGCATCTAGAGCACTGGTGCAAGGCAGGATTACAACAATATTGATCTAGATCTAGGCAATAATGTGCACACTGGTATGAAAAGCGTCCTTATTGAACCTCATACACATGAATGGGGTGATTTCAGTAATAAGGCTGTTATATAGCCCCATGATGCATGATTAGCCAAGCAAGACTTACATATTATTATTATTGTCTTATTATTATTTAAGTAATAAATGTGGAATTGATGTATATTAGTAGATCTATGTCATAGATCTAAATTGAAAGATGATGAAAAGTGCTTTCCAAGAAATTTCAAGAACACGAAATTTATGACATCATGATGCATTGTTGGTTCAAAAGTTTTTAAGTTTGTGTAAAGCACCCATCTTGTAGTGGAAGATGGCAGGAAGGGTTTAAATTGAAACAAAGTGACAGTCTAGAGCGCATATTGCAAGTCTAGAGCCCATATCACGGGTCAACATGACCACCAAGCAGCCATTCATGCACAAAGAGTTGTTTGAATATAATATTGTTGTAACTCCGCTCCCTCGCCACACTGATGGTGCGTATGAGAGCACCATTGAACACACGAGAAGACATGTTTAGGCAGGAAGAAAAGTCATTGGAGTCTGAACAGCCTGGTGCTGAGTGCTGTGCTGTGTGATACTAGGAAACTTTGGGAGACGTGGAGCGACACTGGGAAGTGTGTCGGTCTGTTCTGTGTTCTGGTATGAAGTAGGACTCTTAGAACTTAAGACATATTACTCCCTGTGACTTTATAGTAGAAGTCCAAGTCTAACTAGTAACTATTACTATTTGTTGATGCTTATATTAAATAAATACATCATTTACTGTTGCCGACCTGTCTTTCGTTGAGTGCCTGCCTTAGATTTACAACAATATTATATAGATTCTACACATCTAGTTTTAACCTATGTCAATACTAGAATTAGTGTTGGTAATAGATCTATAATTTTAGGGTTAGTAGCACAGGAGATCAGGATGCCTGATCTGAACAAATATGTTAAAATAAAATTGGAAATTGAACAGTCCTGAGATCATGCAAACCGCAGACCTTCCAACAAAAAACTTTGCCAAGCTGCAATGTAGGATGAGGTGTCTCAGGTGAATACAGCTTACATTCATCAAGATTCCCATATCATGAAGGAATCTGTTAACCTATTTAACCCTATTCCACCCAGAGATTTTTGCCATACTTAATTCATCATACATACATAAAGTATCTATCATTCATTGTTACAGAACTTAGATTGATTATTGAAAAAATAATCTTTCTATCTCAAGAGGGCTCAATAAAATAGCAGCTGGCTGGTTTGAATAGCTAGATGCTTTAAATTGTTAAAATGATGTTCTTTGGTTTGAGAGCCATGATAAACATTTTGAAAAAGGAAATAAGTAATATTTCAAAATAATTAATCATTATAATTTCAGGCTCGATCTGATACAGTGGACCTGACAGACACTTCTCTATTGGTGGACATTTCAGATGCTTTAAGTGAACGCGAGAAAGTCAAATTCACTGTTCATACCAAGGTATATTAAGGATAGTCTAGGTCTATTTAAGACATCTTTTTTAAATGGACAATATTATTAAAATGTTTATTGTAAAACTCTTCTAGGAGATAACTTTCTGCCTTTGATTTAATCTTGTTTAAAAAATATATTATTTGAATATTTGCTAATGCTGAAAAAAAAAGAAATGGCCTTCTAGCCTCAGTTTGTATAAAAGAGCTTTGATTGCATTGGTGGTACTATTTCTTAAGCAGGTATAGATTATTTAGGTGGTCACATATTGTCACGGATGAATGTGTGTATGTATGTATAATCTACTTTTACATTCTGGGCGAATGACCGGAAGTGTGTTGTTGTTAGACAGAGACCAGCTTGTGTGATATGCAGAAAAGCTGATTAAAGTTTATGTGTTTGATCTAGTGGTTCAATTGTTTTATTTCGTTAACAAGAACTGAACCAGGGACACCTAGACGTATCGAGACCTAAGGTAGATTCTATATAATTATAAATACAATAGGAAAGCTGTGACACATATAAACCTATATAGATAGCTAAGCCATTTCAGTTCTCAAGGATGTATGAAAGTTATTAAAATTATGACAGCATCTTATTATTTCAACTCTAGCTGTTTTAGTTGTCTGCAACTAATTATATGTATTTTTCTGTTATTGTTTCATATATTTTTATAAATTTATATTCCTGTTTTCCCCTCAGACCACACTCCAGCAGTTTAAAAATTCAGAAATGTCTGTCGTGAGACAACATGAGGAGTTTGTCTGGCTACATGATCGGTTTGTTGAAAATGAGGAATATGCTGGCATTATTGTAAGTTAGCAGATTCTTTTTAC